AGTAAAGGTAGATCAAGTCATCGTGATGGACGACACCTATTTGAAAAAAGAATTATTAATCAAAGATAAACGCTTAGAGTTCTGCAAGTATCTTACCGAAAGGTGTGTTGTTGCTATACGTCTGATGGCTGTATCTACCCTGATAGACAAACTCGTAACGACGTACGGGTTTCTTGTTATATTTTGCCATAAGATTCACTAGCTGATTATTTGGCCAGCCTACGATAGCATCGGCATAAATCTACACATTACATACAAAAGCCTTCAATCGAAATTTTCTGTACGTCAACTCTTTGATATTTTACGTATATCTACCTGCGCAAGCTTGTCAGCATTCTTGATACTAATGGGTTCATTACCGAAATAGAATTTTCGCAATTCTCGACTGGCGTTTAGTGATTGTTCACCAGTACGATCGTATTGGAAGGAAATCGGTGCAACTCGCTCCCATTCGCGATTCAAGTCTTCGAAGTACGAATTGTTGCCCTTTTTTGAATTCTCGATCGCATCTGTGTAATTAGTTGAAACCGAGATATTTCTATTCGCTAATTAATGCATTTAAAAGCACTCACGTAAGACGGTTGCAACGATTTCATCCTTAGTGATGCCAGTGATCAAAGGAACGTGGTTGAAATCACCAGATCTAATGATATCGACTGGCTGGGCGTGGAGAAATCTTTCGATGCCCTTGACTTTGGGTTCGACGACCGGAGCGAAGATCAAAATCGGATCGCCATAAAATTCCTACGAAGAAGGAAAAGCTCAATCGTTCGGTGTGAACACGCCAAAATAGCGCGCTTACGTTAAATTTTGACAAACTACTGCCAAACTCTTGCGCTGGCACCTTCCTCAAGCATTCAAACATCTTGTCGAGGTTGTCAGTGGGGCAACCAACGAAAGAAGCTTGTTTCTTGGCAATGTTACTCATATTGCCATCAAGCAACTTCGGCTTCAGCGGGGAGCCACTCATAGCTACAGCCTGATGAAAGAGACCCTTGGACATCGGTGACAACATGTGGAGAACGACGCTCCATCCTCCGGCACTGTAACCGGTGATGGTCACGGTGTTAGAGTCGCCACCAAAAGTGGCAATATGCTCGCGAATGAATCTTAAAGCGACTACTTGGTCTTTCAAGCCGAGATTGCCGGGTGCGTGATGGTCACCGGTGCTTATGAAACCTTTTTACGCAAAATTGTTTTTATCGATATGTTTTGTACCATTGTTAGATTAGTGTAGAATGGCAATTACCTAAAGCTGATAAACGGTAGTTGACGGTGACCAAGACGATGTTTTGATCGAGAAAGTATTCTGGTCCCCAAAGGTAACTTTGAGCCGAGTAGCCGGTGAATCCTCCCGGTGGAAAAAATACAACTACTGGTCTTCTAGTGGACGAGTTCAGCTGCAAATTGTGATTCATTTTTGTAAACCAATCATGTTTCGCAGAATTCAAAAGGGGAAAAATGTGCGATTCACGTTCGTCGTGTAGATGTTCAATGCAAGACAGTCCTCGGAAAGGTTTCTGCCGGCTGGCCGGATGCACGATGGACCTTCCTGGCTGGCATCGACGACACCTTTCCATTTGCCAATTGACTCGGGAACCTAAAGCAATCAATTAATAAGAATATATGTCCTCGCAGGCGATCTCGGTATCATTTTAAAAAAAGCACACGTTAACTTTGGCGAACAACCGCAGTGAACGGAACAATCAGCACTAACTTGTCGAAATGCAACTTTTTCCATTTGAAGTTTTCACGAACTACAGATAAAATTATCGTCATAATTACCTTAAATCGTCGATCTCCCACGGGCGCTTTCGCATAACGAATCCCTCTGAACGCGCAGATTGTTTTATTCAGCCTCGTTGTCATCAAGGAGCCTTTGATACATCCTAACTTCGTGCAAGCTAAAACATTATCGTCAGCGGCACACCACGCGAATGCTGCGCACAGCAGCAACATTAACAACCTGGCGATCATTATACGGCTCGAATCAGACGCTGCCGGAGCCGCCTCAAGCTGAGTATTTATAAGTGCAGAGTGTTTACTTGGCAAAGATAATGAGAACGAGGAAAAAATTTTTTTTTTAAGTTTCTGCCAATACAACATCCTTTGCTCGCTGAAAGTTAGGTTGTGTATGTGCGATTGTTACGAGGAATATACATATGACTTTCTAGTATTTTTTACTCGTTTAACGATGATGATTAATGTTCTGCAAATCATTTCTATTAAGTGACATTGTATTGTATTTTTTGAAAAGCTATCCTTGTTCGCTGGAAAATTTACAGTTGACTAACCACATAAATCGAACCGTGACATATTTTACCCGTTAGACTTGGGTAAAAGGTGTATTCGTGATTGATGTTATATTTATCGTTCGCGATATTGTAAGGTTATATTTATGGCCGCAAATTGTTAGATGTGCATTCATTTCGAGCATTAATTTGGTGACATCGATGTCTTGATTTTCAATCATCGTTCAAACGAACGGCCGCCCCTTTGATCTTTCATTCGCACGTACATGACGTCTCCGTCATGCCTAACATAACAAAGCGCAGCATCACAAGCGTTTGCTGTGCAAAAACTATGTAATTACTAAAATCGTCCTAGGTGTGAAAGCGTCATTGTCAGTGCATTCCAAATGCTTGCACCTATACGTCACGAAAATCTCACCTACAATAAAGTCAACTCATTTCTCTCCGTGAAATTCCAAAAGTAATCGCGTCCATGTTTTTTTTTCTTTCGTTTTTGCCTTCGCGACGAAAGAGAACAAAAATTGTAAATGCAAAGTCACGAAAAGTACGTAACTCGAAGGGAAAAGCAATAAGAGTCCGTGGCTCGCGGGGCTTAATCTTCATTGCGCATGCAAGACGACGCGATCGACGGAGTCGAAGGAGGATGCGGCAGCTCGATTCGCGGAATGAAGCGTAGCCAGCTACCAGAACTACACCCACTTAACTCGCATGGCAAATGAGCTGGATTATGCTCTCTCGCGTCGCGCACTACACACAGCGCGAATTTCGAATGCGCGATGCGGGCTTGTGCTTCTCTCTCTCTCTCTCTCTCTCTCTCTCTCTCTCTCTCTCTCTCTCTCTCTCTCTCTCTCTCTCTCGTTTTTATTTGACAGCGGGAGTGAGAGAGCAGATCGATTGTCATTCGTCGTTCGCCAGCTTTTTCGGTTTCGCAGTAACGAATTTGCGTCAAATATAAAGTTGCTTACGTCTTTGATATTCCAAGAGAGAGAGAGAGAGAGAGAGTCGTGAAGATCCTCTGTTCACAACGCAGTTTAACGATCAGAGAGACGCGAATAATAATCGTTAGGCGTATGAACGCGTTATGCCGGACCAAAGCGACGGAACGATCAACACAACACGTTATCAATTATACACAAGCGTGCTTGTTACGAGTTCGTTCATCTCCGCGCTGAGCCGGTGGGAGAGTAAACATAATCGTCGAGACGCAGCCGCGCCGCGTCGCACACCGAGATGACGAATGACATTCTCGCATCCCGCAACAGCACAAGCTTCTGTTCCATGTGATGCGGGTGACACGCGCGTGTGAATGTGCGATGAGGGCGCGATATCAATGGTAAGTGCGAGGAATTGGTAATAATGCGATTGCCGATTGCCATTTCTTCGGTGTCGGATCTACATATGCTGCTTGCGAAAGCTTTGTGCGATGCTGAATTTTGATTCGTTTCTTGGGCTATTTGAGGAGGTGCGTTCTTGAAATACGCAGCCATCAGAGCGAATTGAAGAGCTCGATCTGCTCGACTGTGAATAATTGTGAAAACGACGCTCGCGATCAAAGATACACGCGAGAAAACACAAGTCTACTTGATAAATATTTGATTTTAATACTCGATCGAGAAACTTTGATCGTCAAACGCTCGACTTCAAACGGCCCTTGCCTCTCGAAGAGAAGACGCGAGCGTTCAAGAAAAAAAAAAAAAAGCAGTGCGCGCACATTTTGTCCTCCCGCCCGTTTTTATAATCGTCTTCTCCCCGACGTCCCAACCCCTTTTCGTCATGTCACAACTGCATGCGCGCAGCATGGAAGAGAACGAAATGACACTGAACACGCGTCTTACCGCCCGCCCACGTCTCTATACCCCCCCTCCTCACCGGTGCCTCTTCTCGCTCGCGAGCGTGTAGGGTGCCCGGCTTCGCCGGTACACACGCAGTCGTCAGTTGCTCGCGCGCCAGCCTCCAACACGCACGCGGCGACATTTACAATCTGTGGTGCGCGGCTCATCATGCGGCGTCGATTGTCTTGCTGAACCTATTGGAACTCCTGCGATCGGAATTGACTGTTATTTCGAGAGAAATGGGTCGAGTTCCGACGGTGCTCGTAGCTGTCTTGGCTGTGATGGGATTGACAGGATCGGAAGGTACGTTGTTGCACTTCAATGTTGTAGTGTCGGTTACGCGAGTAACGCCCGTAATTCAGACGTGAATGGCTATAATCTCGCAACTCACGTCGGCAAATGTCACTTTCTCCAGCTCTTCGTCGCGTCAATTTCGAACGAAAACGCAAGCGACAGAAAAAAAAAACTTCAATCGTCGATCAAAAGTTCCACTCTCTGTTCCTCCACTTTATACACGCGTTAAAAATAACGCGCTCGCGCGCGACAGATGAAATTCGCGCGGCGACGGCGGATATTGTCGTTTCCCCTCCCTCCGATCTCGCCTTTTTTTTCCAAGTAAAAATATATCGCTAAAAGAGACAGATTCATTGAACCCTCGTGCGCGCGAATAGAAGGGAGCGAAGCGCGAAAGCTCCCTCAAACGCACCTTTTCTTCCTGTTTTAAAGCGCGCGCGGATGTATTTTTGGCGCCCACGCGGCTTTTCTTGCCCTTTTTGCGATGATCATTCGTTTTTGTTGGTCCGAGATCCCGTCGCAACGACGTTGTATTTCGTCAACGACGCGTCGCCAATCAAACCTGACGATTGTTTGGATGACATCCGGCTCGGCTATTGAATAAAGGATAATTAATCACGAGCGCTGATAACGTTAAATGCGTTATCTAGCCTAGCTGCCAACTGAATAACTTTTCCAGAAAATAAAAACGAGCCGTAATTTGAATAAACGAGCGAACATTAAAAACTCGACCAAGTCGCCCTCCGTCCTAATATACGACGTCGTCCATTTAGCCTGTTACTTATGTACGCAAGTCTTGCATTTATCTCGTTGTCTCTCTCTCTCTCTCTCTCGTCATTTGGTATAATCCAGCACATGTGTGCCTCTTATTCTTATACGACGACGCGACCCCTTCGTTTCATTTATTGTTATCGCGGCCGCATTATCTCTAATTTTCTGGCCGTTCCTCACTCGCACACACGCGCGTTCGGGCTATTATCTTGTTGATTCCCGAGAGGAAGAGCGCGTGGACAAGAGATATATGGAAATGCTTCGCGTCTATTTTTTCGTCTTTGCGCGAGTATTTTTTTTTTTTCTTCTTAAATTTTTCCTCGAGGACAAAGTGAGTCGCAAGCTACTTTGCGAGCGGATTAACAAAAATAGATATCTGGAAGTAGATCGAACAAATTTCTCGGTTTCTTCGTAATGCTCGCCTCTTCTTACGACGAGAAAGAGAGAGAGAGAGAGAGAGAGAGAGGAAAAAAAAAATCGCTTGAAAAATTGACCTCGATCGTCGCGATTATCATTAGAGGAAGCATCATGTGCCAGCAGCGTACGCGTGATTTTTTGCGCCGACGAGCGGCGGCCGCGTCACACGGTCATCACTCGCGCGCTTCGCGCATCATCCGCGCGCGTGTAACTCGCGCAATGACTTCACTCTTGAGAGAGAGAGAGAGAGAGAGAGAGAGAGAGAGAGCGCGAACCTCCCGCGCGAAGTTGGCTTCTCTCGCGGTCTCGTTCGAGTGAAAAATCGCACGAAACAATACGATTTCGCAACGCACGATCGACGGAGTCGAGCGTAAATACGCGAGACGAGTGGGCGTTTCGCGTTATAAATCCACTCTTGGGCCGTGCGAAAGTCAATCGCGCGCTCATCTTTCACTGCCTCGTTTTCGCCGCTGCCGTATGTCGCGCGCGAGAATACGTACAATTTTGGATTTGGCGCTATCGGCCGCCCGATAGCCGCGCCATTCTCGTCTTAATAAATATCGACTTCGAGCCTATCGAGAATTACCTTATTGCCTTTTGACATCGACACGGCGACCCGGAAATGCGAAGTTGACAGTAAATCCCGTATCAACGTGCTCGCGGCCGCGAGAATGGGAGGGAGGAAAGGATTGAAAGCTCGAGGCAAACTAATTGCCGGCTACCATGCGACGAGGGAGAAAAGAAGTATGAGATAGCCTCGTCTGCATAAACTACAGCGCGAGAGGCTCTTCGTTTCGATCGCCACTCGCGATCTGTCCCTTCTTCTCTGCCTTCGCCTCTGTGTTGCACGACGAAAAGTAAAAAGAAAGCTGCTGCTGTTGCTGGACACGACATGGTTAATTATTGAGCTGAACTCCGAGCTGATTAATTTCTTCGTTTTTTTCTTTCTGGTTTTGCAGAGCGGAGTAAACGGCATTCCTCGGTCGCGATGAGCTCCGCCTGCGCCATTTCGATTTTCGCGCGAATCGAGCGATCCGAGCGCGTAAACAAAGCAACGATAAAGAAGACGCACATTTTGAGACGGCGTGGCGGGCGCAAACGAGCGGAAAAAGAAAGAACAGCACAGCACGAAGGATCGAGAGGACGCGGCGTTCTCCGCTGCTGACGTCAGCGCAATTGACCGGACGCTCGCTCGCGCTCTTTGGCGACAGTTCGCGTGGAGCGCGCGAGATAGGGCTTGTACGTATTGTCCGCGCCGCGATCGATCATTCGCGCGGGCGATCGTCGATCAACGGCGGGCCGGCCGTCGCCGCCGCCGTCGTCGATTCGCGGGGCGCCCCGGCCGGAGTCGGCCGCTCGTAAATCAAGCCTCTCTTTCTTCCATCTTAACCGTCGCCCACGCGCGCGCGCGCGCCCGATCGCCCGTCGAAACTGCCGCCGATTTACTTATTGCTGGAAGGCGCGCGCCAATGCGACGGGGATATAACGTATGTCTATTTCCCTGAGAAATATACCGCCAGGTTACGCGAGTGCTGTACGCAAAAAAACGAGCGGCAGTCCGTTGAAAAAACGCCGCAGACTCTCAATTTGCCGTTTAATTGGTATTTATTGACTCGAATTAAGAATCGTCTGGGCTCTTCGTCTTCTCTCACTCGGCAGTGTCTTTCTATCGTCTCGATGCACTTTCTTGCCGCTGCAATACGATGCGCTTTTTTTCATTTCCTTGATGTGGGCTTGTATTGTACGTATGGGGGTCCAGGAAGTCGCGAGTTAACTTTGGGCGATGTCGGCGAGCAGAGCGCGCTAAAACTAATCTGAATTTATGGACTTTTTTTTCCTTTTCGAGGGCGTTTTATGATCGGGGCGGACTATTCGCTTCGGTTGACATATTTTTCGGCGACGGAATCCAACTGGACTCGTGATTCTAGCGCTATTTTTAAACGCAGATCTAATAGCCTATGGCGAATCGAGGCGTAGAGCGGTTTTCAAGCAATGTAGAAATAGTTCTGCATTCTTCTCTTCGGTCCAGCCGTGGAAATCTTTTCTCGAGATTAAGGAAACGCCGAAAATGTTGATTCCAGCGAGGGCACTAAATTGTAAGAAAAATAACGCGCGGCCACTAATTTCGATGACGCGTCGTTTGGTGCAACCCGCCCTACCCTCTCCCCATAAAAGGCAAGAAAAAAGAAAAATCATCGCGTGGCTCTTTGAAGTGGCGAAAAAACGGAAGGGACGCCCGCTTTAGGAAAATACGCCGCCGGCCCGACTAAGATTGCCGCCGTACCTAGGAGCGCGACACATGTGTGTGCGGGCGATACGCGTCGCTGGATAGTCTTCTCCCCCGCATGTGTTCAAGTGTCCTCTTTCGCTTTTCTTTCCTCGCTCACTGCCGCGCGCTTTTCACATTCTAATGCACCTTTCCTGCGCTTTCATATCGAGCATTTCGAACATGTGCATTCAGATGTCGATCTCAAAGTCAAATGGGACAATTCTTTTCTTCTGTACGCAAATCGAAGGGAGAAAATTTTCATTGTTTGATTTATTGGTTGTTTATCTTTAGTTTTTACCTAAAAATTCGACTATTATCGTCATAAAATAAGTAAAAAATATATTTCTTGAATTGATTAAAAGCTAACATCTAAAACTTCGTGAAACGTTGGATATATATCAACCTCTCGATAAAATTGAGACAATACACCTGAAAATCTGAAGATTGGTTATGAAATTTTAGCAATAATGTTGACAAACCTGCAGTAAAGCCCAAAAAAGTTATCAAAATGTCAATATTATATTCGTAATAATTGAGAAGTTTAGTAAAATAAAAATAAAAAATACCAAACCTTACAGATTTCCATCCAGTACGATACAACCTCCCAAAACGATGAACACCAGAGCCCTTGCATCTCACGCGAAATCCCATCGTAAAAAAATAAAAAGAAAAAAAAACTATCAAATCGACACTTAAAAGCTACTAACCATTCGCTCGGGTGATCTGTTGCAGAGATGTCCTGCTGTTCTCGAGCTGCTGGTTCCTGTCGCAGCTTCTGCTCGAAGGTAAGTGTCTCCCTTTATCTCTTACGAGTTTTTCCGATTTGTCATTGTGCCTGCCTTCGGCGACTCTTCCATTCTCGAGCGATACCGGCGTACGTTTGAAAAACCATATTCCCCTGCTCTCGGAGACTCGAAAACATTACGCGTGCAAGCCAAAGTCGATCTAGCGCTGTGTATTATCGTTGGAAAGTGATAGTCTTTTTCCTTGAGAGCGTGCTCTAAAATAGATGGACCTTTCGAGCGAGAGAAAACAAACGATCGATTACGATGCCTGCACCGAAACAAACGCAAGGCCTCGTGAAAACAGCGCGTACTTTGGGTCGGAAGGCGGGCAGCTCGTAGGTGCTGCGAATCAAGGGTGAGCGATATTCGTGTGCACGTTGCGTGCGGTAGTATACGAGTCCACGTGTATCTGCGCGATCTCCGAGATGAGATAAACGCTCTTGCGCCGCCGCGTCGAGATTTTCTTTATTTCATTTTATTTTCCTTTTGGTTTTTGTTTTTTCAGCGCGCGACTCGTTGTTGTCCCGAACCTACGACAAAAACAATCAGCGCGCGTAACAGGTGCAGCGTCTGCGTCGCGATGCTTCTTTCGGCCGTCGCCGTCGCAGACACAAAGCAACGACGGCCGACGCCTCGTGTTGCTCTCTTCGGCGCGCGCGCAAAATAGACTCTCTCGGGCGCTGGGGCTACGTACGCGGTCGTGCGATTCGAGGGCGTCCGATGGCCCGGGGCAGTCAGCGCGTGCCTGCCTCTTCATTGGAGCGTTCAAAAGTCGCGCCGTCGCCCGGGCAATCAATCGCGCCGAACGATCGGATGGCGCGCAAAGGAGCGTGCTCGACGCGATCGCTTCCGAAGACCAGAGAGCTGTTTTTCCAAAACCGTGTAATCGACACTAATCGGCCCCGTCGCTGGCGGAAAAGTGCCCGCTGACAGAGACACTCGAAAAATCCAAAACCAATTTACCCCTCAAAACCCACACGCACTTCCTCCTCGGAAGGGGGAAAAATACCTCGAGCGATGCTATCGCGGCAATTAAGGACAACACACCTCACTTCTCTGTCTCTCTCCCTCTCTCTCTCTCTCTCTCTCTCTCTCTCTCTCTCTCTCTCTCTCTCTCTCTCTCTCTCTCAGCTTCCTTTCTCGCCGAGGGAAAAAAAAACTGGAAGTGCGCGCGCGCAAAACGCGGTCGTCTATTTTGGTGCGCAGTTCGCTCTTTTGATGCCGTTGCGGCGACACGCGCACTCGTGCGCAAGCTCAACGCGTAGACGAGAGCGCGCGGACTCCGAGCTTAATTGCAAGAAATATAATTTGATTGTTTTTCGCGCGCCGCTCCCTTTGATGTTTTCGCGAGGCCGCGCCACCTTCGAGTAAAAATCCGCGCGCGAGGAATACAGCCGCGATGAATCAACGTCGTGCTCCGGTCCCCACGACACGCAGCGCCGAGGGCATATTCGAAATCGTCAGAATTGTCCGCGTAAGCAACGATTGCCGAAACAATGGTGATAAAAACAATGGGGAGTCGATATTGCGAAGAACGCGCATTGCGAGAGTGATGATTGTTTAATCGATGAGCCGTCTTTCCTTGCAGTTGTCGCTGGTGAAACTCGGCGAAGACCCGTACGCAAGGGACAATGCCACGAGAACGTTGGCGGAGCTGTGTTCCACTGAGCTGGTGAGTGTCGCGCAGAGATTGTTCCCGCAAAAGAGTCAATCGTTTTCACGATCGATCGTGTAACAAAAATTACACGCGTCGATCATATACTTTTTTCTTTTGGAATGGCACGGACACGAGGCGGTTTCGCATTTCCGTCACGTGTGCGTTGAGCTGAATGGATCGCTCAATACGATATCTTTCCTTTTGTGCAGGTGGAGTTCTGGGACTGCGTCAATGCTACGTTCAGCGGTGGGTTTGACAATTTTACTGGAAATACTTTTCAATGGGATTTCAGAAAAAAAAAATTACTATCGATCGTTCCTTTTTTCGACAAGCAAAAAAGCGTACGGATATTAAGAAATAAAAAGAAAACGTCTAGCTTCTCTGTCTAATAACTCACAGTACTAAAAAGAAGAAGAAGAAGAAGCTATAAACGCGCAACCTGACCTCCCGAATCTTTATTCGCGTAACATCTTTGCTGGCGCAGTATCTTTTTTTCCTCGTTCCTTCCTGTGTTGGAAACGACACGTATAATATACACGGGAGAGGTTCCCTGCGGCTGATATATGTATATGCGAACATCGAAGCTCGCGCGAGAAGTGAAATTTACAGGCGCCAAATATCCGCGTCTCGTGTTTCTCTCTCTCTCTCTCAACCCCTTAGCGTAAAATTATTCATTTAGAGATGCAGCGATAAAGGTGCATATGCGCGTATTGTGGATTTTTCACGCGCCCGATGCGACGCTTCAACAAGTAACTCGTTTTCGCGTAACTTTCTACCGTTCGTTGTTATTTTTGGCTTGTACGTAGTTTTGTGGTTATCTGAATTTAATTAATCGACGATTTTAATGTCGTGATTTTGATTACGTGTTTATGGTATGCAACGTGATACTGAAAATCGCCTACGCGAGATGTCACTCGCGATTAATTAAACGAAAATGTCCAATACTTTCGTTTAAATATGGGGTCTCGTACATCCTGATGGCTTAATTTACTTCACAGCCATTTAATATAGATATTTATATTTATATTTATATTTTATATTTATATAGAACAAAACGCTCTCGAATATAACTTCTTCGGGATGCACCGAAACCTTCGGTTTTTCGAATAGCCTAGTACGGCTTTGCAAATCGCCATCGCGAAGCGTAGGATCATTTGCTCTGACTGGTTCGCACAACCAACGGAAACCACAACCCTTCGACATTTGCAGACGTCGAGCGCAACGAGAACTGGTCGGGTCGGCCGTGCTGTCGCAAAGCGCGCAATCCATTGTGCCAAGCGGCATGCGCGACGGCGGGCGCGAGACACGAGCTGCGCCGCTCGTGTCGCTGGAGCGACGAGCCCGAGTTGGCCGACTGCCTGGACCAGCGCGAGGATGCCGACGAGTGCTGCTCGAGCGTGGCCAACTCGACGTGTCGCAGTATTTGTCGAGAGGTGATTCACAAGCCGGCCAAGCAGTCGGTACTGAAGGTTTACAGCAGTCGCGGCTGCTTCCATCAAGTGCCCAAGTGCTTAAAGGGCAGCGCCGAGGTGAAACCGTCGGAGGATCCCAAGCTCTGTAAGTTTCTGATCCGCGGCTTCGACTCCGCGGTCAAGCGCTGAACCGTGCCTTTGCGCGTAGACACCCACTGCTGCGAGCAAGCAGCGAGCGCCGACTGCCAGGAGAGCTGCCGACGTCTGCTGCACGCGTCCTCGTCGATCCTGGACGTGTTCGGTGACCTCGAGGCGTCGTGCGGGGCGATAAAGCCGCACGCGCCCCTCTGGAGCTGCCTGTTCAAGTCGTCGCCGAGCAGACCGCAACGAGTGCCCGCCAACATCGGCAAGCTGACGTGCTGCGAGAAGGCGCAGAGAGCCAAGTGCAAGGAGCTCTGCACGAAGGCCTTCCAGACCGACTGGTCGGCCTGGCAGCAACTGGACGGCCAGTGTCTGGCGTCCCCCTTAGAAAACGATCTGCGCAGATGCCTCGAGGACACCGAGGACTCGTGCGAAATGGGCTGCTCGGGCCTGTCCTTCTGCTCCAAGTTTAACGACAGACCGACCACGCTGTTCCGCACCTGCAACGCGGCAGCCGACGAGTCGGCCAAGTGGGAGGCCGATCACTGGCTGCGCGGTGGTATCATCGCCGGCCTCGGAGTCCCGGTGCGCGCCGCGCCTTCGTGCCCGGCCGACGTGCTTCGTGCGGCCGCCTGCCTCTTGCAACTGCGCCCCTGCGAGCCAAGGGTTCACGAGACGCGACTCTGCCGCGAAGATTGCATGGAGCTGATGACCAGCTGCGTAGACTGGTCGGCTGTGAAGGGCCACAACGCCGCGACTCTGTGCGCCAAGCTGTCGCCGGCCAAGGCGGACGCACCCTGCGTCTCGCTGAAGCCGTTCCTCGAGGATCCGCGGGAGCAGAACGAACTGCCGGTGGCGCTCGAGGAGGACATCAGCACGCCGTGCAGGAGCAGCCCCTGCTCGCAGGGGCAAATCTGCGTGGTGCACCCGGACCAGAGGCAGAATTACCGATGCCTGCCTGGTGAGTGGACGCCTCGGCCGATCCAGAGAGCCCCGGAAGGTGAACACGAAACGACTTTAATGTTTGTCGATCAGGCTGCAATCTCGGCGAGATGTCCAAGCAGCTGATCCCGGTGGGCGCCTGGACGCAGATTCCGCGCTCCGACTCCAAGAATCAAGTAAGCCATCGCATCTGCCAGTGTTCGGCGTCCGGCAAGCTCGACAAGTGTCGCGACTTGTTCGGCATGACGTCCAACAGCTGCTGGGTGCAGTCCAGCGTGGTGCCACATCGCGCCACCTTCTACATGCAGTGCAACCAGTGCCGCTGCTTCGCCGGCGAGATCACCTGCTCCCGCAAGAGCTGCGCCGAGATTCGACTGCCGTCCATACCCTGCGACTGCTCGTACCAGTACGTGCCCGTCTGCGGCATGGGCGCCACTTACGCCTCCAAGTGTCTGGCCGGCTGTTCGAAGCTGACCGGCAACGACGTGGAGTACAACAGCTGCTCGTCGAAAGACCCTTGCAGGTCGAATCCTTGTGCCGAGGGCGAGACCTGCGTGAGAAGGCCGAGGGTCTGTTTGGCGCACATTCACAAGCCTTGCGAGCAGTTCGAGTGCGTGCCGAAGAAGTGCGATCGCAGGGCCGACTTGAAAGGCGAGCATTGAACACGGCGAGGACTAACGAGAACTCGACGGGGCCGCCGGCGGAGATTAACGAACGCGCGGGCTTCCTTTTGCAGGTCCAGTCTGCGACACGGGGAACCGCCAGCACGCGTCGCTCTGCTCGCTGCTGCGCGCGGGTGCGACTCTGGCCTACCGCGGCGCCTGCCTGCGCGGCTGCAGCCTCCGCGGCCCGGTCTGCGCGATCAACGGTAACACCTACTCGAGCGAGTGCGCGGCCTGGGCCGAGCGCACGATCGTCGACTATTCCGGCCAGTGTGTCGCCTTCGGCTTGGTCTCCGAGGTGCCGAAGCCGCGCTGCGGCGATGCCGTGGTCTGCCCGCCGCCGGCCAGGCCCAATTGCCTCGGCGTCACTCCGCCCGGCGCCTGCTGCCCGGTTTGCGCCGGCGCCGCCAGGCTGCAGTTCTCCAAGAAGCAGGTGAGCTCACGAGCGCGCAAGGCTCCGGGCGTGACGACCCAACGACAATTCGACTTTTCGTTTCAGCTCGAGCGCATCTACTCGAAACTGCCGGAGGACAGCGACAAGCACTCGCTCACCTTGGAGGCGATGCTGTCCGGACTGTCGCGACAGCTGCAAGTGGCCGAGTGCGTCTTGCGCGGCTCGATGACGCCCGAGGGCGATATATTCATCGCCAACCAGGCCGTCTCGCGAAGGCCCTCGGACCTGCAGTTGTCGGCTTGCGTCGCCGAGATCGAGAAGCTCGTCAGCCGCATCTCCGAGCGCAGCCCGAGGATCGTTGTCGAGGTGCCGATGAGCTCGCTGCTGCACGCGGATATATTGCACGCCAGGCTGCTCAACAGCTTAGCAATGAAAGTTGAGACCAACGCGTTTATCCTTACGACGGTCATTGTTGCGAGTTTCATTAGCTAATTATAAGACCTTGACGATCGAACAATTTTCTAAAACGTTCGTCGACCGACAATTCTTTTTTGTCGATTGACCTTATTGGAATTCGAACTAGCCAATTTTATAACCGCATTTAAGTATTGGAAGAGTATATTATAACAGTTAAATAGTATATTTAAAGCTGATATCCTAGAAAAAAAAAAGACTTGAAATTTTTAAGCGGGTACCTGCAATCGACAAGACAAATCGAGATAAAAAAGTATGTTTAATTGGAAATGAATGTCTGAAAATGTGTGTGGGTGCGTTGTTTTTATTTTCAAGACTAAACAAAATGTATAGTTGTGTTCGTACGCACAAAATCTGTGATTCTTCTAGTGCCTACGTATATACTAATTGAGTATTTTTTGAATTTATTAGCGTATAAAACAATGTATTCCTTGTCTCTTGACTAAACACTGCCAAAGAGAGGACGTTCTTTTTCTTTTTTAAATCTTAAGCAATTGTAAATATATCGAATGTACTTCAATATAATAGACGTTACCACTTCCCAGACTCGACGAGAAAAACAATGAAGAGCCAAATAATAGTTGTACATCAACAAAACGACCGAATTCGTATTAGTCAAGATGAAAAGTATAATGATTTGTTAATGTTTTTATAGCGATTTTTTTTGTATTAGCATAATATATTTATATGTACATATATATGTATGCGTATGTATGTATGCATGTATGTATGTATAAATAATAAATTTTTTACTATCATATATAATCTAAGTGTTACTAATCAATTTCCACGTAATATTAAAAAACAAAGATTTTAAAATGAAAATTCGATAATTTGTCTATATAAAGATGTATAATTATATATTTTTTATACAAAAAAAAATGCACGTAGGTACAATTAAAACACTAATACATAGCGCTTCAAACATTTCAACGTGGAAACGTTTGCACGCAAACTCATCACGCAAGCAGCGGAGTAGTTCTACAAGACCTTGTATCGTCCACGCGATGCCGTATGAGCTCCAGAAGCTTGCAATTTGATCAGTTCCTCTTTGATGAGCCTTGAAACTTCAGCTTTAGCTTTACTGACAGCCAATTCGCTAGTCGACTCAATAGCGAGGTATAATTTGCGTTCGCCTTCGGGCGGTGCTTTGCCAGGTGCAATATAAGTACCACGAACTGTGAGACCAGCTTCGGAATACTCGGAGATTTGAGCGAGTGCTTCTTTGCTGGTGACTCGCCATCTTGCTTGTTGAGGGAAATCGTTAATCTCCAACTCTTCCTCGTACTTGCGGAATGTTTGCTCGCCTTGTTCTTCGCCCTCGATCAAATCTTCCTCGCGAGGCTGATAATTCAATTTTGTATTCAGCTTCGCGGCTAGTTGTTCTGCTACAGTCTTCGCCTACAATGAAGAAATGTCAGTAATCTGTCTGTCTAATATTATTATTTATAATAAAAATGATTGGTCTATTTTCACATACCGTAATCAAATTGGTAGGTCCAGCTCCCTTAAGAATAGCTTCGGTAACCTGTTGTGTCGCACCCTTAGCCTCAGCACCTAAATTCTTCGCAGTATTAATCCTAGAGGCGAGTCTCTTAGCTAACTCGAGTTTTTCAGTGGCACTAGGAACTGGAGTACCAGGAGCGCCACTACTACCAGCAGTGAGACCTGCTGCATTGGCCGCTGATTTTGGCATTTCGTGGACGATTTTCTTAGCCTGAAGCATCGTCTCGATTTGTTGATCGATATCATTTTCTATATCCTCATCGTCCGAATCTTGAAGACCAAGAGCAGCCTTCTGGAACTTCTTCTTCTCGTTGACCAAAGCTGCTTCTGACTCGTCGAATTTGTAGCCCTTGCCACTGAAACCACCCCCTGTATGGACTTTTTTACCCTCGGCTTCAAGTTTTGCTCTGTAACCGTCCCACAGTTGACGAAGAGGTTCTGGTACGGGCACACCCGCGAGTTCGTGAGCACGAACTATGTCACCAGCGTACCGTTCTTGCTCGGTAGTTATGAAGGTGTAAGCATAACTAAAATACATAAGTAGTGACAGTTAAATGAGTTCTATTAATTTAATATAAATAAAGCATAAATAAATAACCTTATAATGCCTTACCCTTTATTGCCTGCTCTTCCAGTTCTTCCACATCTGTGCACATAATCTTCATAATGGTTGGGACAGTCGTAATTGACGACCAACACAAGACTCTTAACATCTAATCCTCTAGCAGCAACGGAAGTAGCAACAAGCAACTTAACCTTGCCAGCTTTGAAATCAAGTATAGTTGAATCCCTATCGCACTGATCAATTCCACCGTGTAGCGATAGACACGAGTATGCAGCTTTCATGAGGTCTTTCAGTAAAGTATCTGCGTTCTCCTGCTTGTCCACGAAAATTATAGTAGAACCTTTGTCCTGATAGTGGCCGAGGATCTCGAGCAGTTTAAGGAACTTTTGATCGTCTTCCAACACTACCACATGCTGTTCGACGTCTTTGCATACGACTGAGCGACCGCCTACTTGCACTTCTATTGGTTTTGTGAGTATTCGTCTGGCAAGAGCTTCCATTTGACGCGGAAACGTGGCACTGTAAAGTACAGTTTGTCTGTCTGGCCGCACGTTCTCCATTATTCGCATTACCTGTGGACATTCAATGTATATGTTGATTAAAAATTTGGAACTCAATTTAAATATTTATGAATGTTATTACATTCAAATAGATAATTTAAGTAATAATTATTTATATCGATTGTTAGAAAAAGTACCTGTGGCTCGAAACCCATATCGAACATCCGATCAGCCTCATCGAGCACAACATAAGTGACCCGCCGAAGATTGGTGACCCTGCCGTTGTTGGCCGCAAGCATGTCAATCATCCTGCCGGGCGTACAAACAATTATTTCAGCGCCTCTCTTGAGCTCAGCAATCTGTTCTGAGATGCCCGTACCTCCGTAAACGCATACGTGTGACAGTCCAAGACTCTTGGTAAACTTCTTCGAGTCTTTGCCAATTTGCATGCATAACTCACGAGTTGGTGTCATAATAAGAGCAATTGGACCATCACCATCAGCAAGTGGTGGTTGATCCTTAATATGCCGGAACATAGGAAGAAGGAATGCCAATGTTTTGCCACTACCTGTTTTTGCGATACCAATCAGATCGCGACCTGACATTATGGCTGGAATTGCTTGGCACTGGATTGGCGTTGGTTTCTCGTAACCTAATTTGTGTAGGACATCTAACTCTTTCTTGGAAACACCGCATTGTGCCCATGATTTGATTGGTTTTGGACAATTTTTGCCTTTCACACGGATACCTTCGAGCTCCTCTTTATAGATTTCCACCTCCTCTGGTGTCATGCGAGCTAAAAAATATTTTTTATTGAATATTTAATTGAAAGTACAGAAATATTTCAATTTATAAATGATTTTATTAGCTGTGAAATAAAATAAAAACCATTAAAATACTCACCAATTTCAGGTACTTCGCGATAGAACGCTTTTCTGAAAGGTATGTATTCAGTTGCATTGTGATCAACTTTGGCCAATTCTCGCTTCTGTTTGTTTGCGATACCAGCAGCAGTTTCATGAAGATTTTCACCTTCTTCTTCACTTGAGTATTCTAGACCATCTTGATTTTGTTCAATTAATTCACCTTTTTGTTTTTGGCTCTTTTTCTTTGCCACACCCGTAACAATTACTACACCAGCAGTCACTCCAGTTCCTGCACTTGTAGCCACTAGAGTAAAACAAAGTAAATGAATTGTAATATAGTTTTGGTAAAAATACATAACATAGACATTGTTTATCCAAAAATGATAATAGTTAATTTACCTGGCTTTACAGCTTTACTGTCAGCTTTATTCACTTTCCTCACTTCTTCTTGCACTCCAGCCATGTAAGCATCCAATGGGTCCATTTCTTCCTCTTCAACTTTAATTTCTTCCTTCTTCTCTTCTGGTTCTTCTTGCTTGGGTGTCTCTTCTGCTGTTGCTATTGCTGTTGTTGCTGTTGCTGTTGCTGTTGCTGTTGCTGCTGCTGCTGCTGTTTCATCTTCTTCTTCTTTGGTATCTTTATTAGCAATTATAGGTGCTTCTTCATCGCTGTCGTCCTCTAGCGACCATTTCTTGGCAGCTGGCAACTGTAAATTAGCTAACATTGACTTTCCATCTTTTTTGGTTATTTCTAACTCTTTCTTTTTTCTTTCAGCTCTCCACCTTTCAATTCGTTCTCTTCTTTTTTGCATTTCTAATTCCAAACGTTTTTGTTCTTCTTCCTACAATCATGAAAAAGTATAAACAATAATTTTTTAGTCACACAGATAAAATTCTAAGTTTTAATTCCTAAATGAGTCTTACCTTATCAAGTTTTGTATGATCAAATGGCAACTCATCGTTCTCATTTTTGTCCTTTTCTTTGCGGTCTCTAGATCTCGATCTACGTTCTTTACCAGACCTAGATTTGGAACTCGAGGCCTTACCATCTCGTTCTTTACTATCTCCTCTGAAATATAAAGTTTAATTATCAGTATCAAAGTAAAATTTTCATTTATAAAAATAAAATGTCTACTTTACCGTTTCCTATCTCTGTCCCTATCCCGGTCTCTTTCCCTATCACCCCTATCCCTATCTGACCTTTCTCTGCGGTCACTCCTTTCTCTTTCCTTTTCCCTGGACCGACTACGTCTATCACGATGTCTTGTTTTTTCTCGTTCTCGTTCTCTATCTCGATCTCTACTCCTAGATCTCTTCCTCTTTTTGTCTGGAGTTTCAGAGCGTGATCTTGATTTGGACCGCCTTCGGTGATGCCTATCCCTAAAACGAAAATAATTAGTGTCAAACATTCGCATTTGTTCTTATTGGTTATGAACTATTTACGTATTACGTATATTTCAACAGAAACGATCTATTTCGATATGAATTTTTTGTATGAGAAAATCGTTGCAATTTTGTTTAAGTTGAGAAGTAATGAAATAAATAATATCAACACAACGTAAAGCTAACGTCTCAAACATAACCTAAATTAATAGAACATTATAAACAATAGCACATACTTATCTCGAGCCATATCTTCTTATTCCTTAGTTTAAATCACGATAGGCTAAGTCTATAATTATGGTGAATACATCATCGTTTATTTATACATTCACAAGTGATAAAACTAGTTTTCAATGTAAAAGCCACGCACATAAGCCACGCTCACAACCCACAGGCGGGAGACGGGATTGCGATGGGTGGTTGGTTGGTTTGCTGGCCAGATAATTTTTCTTTTTTGGCTCTGGCATCGACTGAATCTACTCGCACTCAGAAGTTAAAGATATATATATATAGCAAATACGGCCATTAACAAAATCACTTTACTAGATGACGATGGATCGGTTGTGCTTTTGCGCGCTGAATGAACAAATTGGCAGCTCGCTTAAACTTAATTATAAGCAATAGAAAATAGTAGAGTGGAAAAGTTGAGAGAGCTAAAAGAAAAGAAAAAATAAAAAGAAAGAAAGTAGAATATAACAAAATCATTTTTGTAGATTAAAGAAATAGTTTTGAATCTTGGAGAAAATTTACATAGGTCAATCAATGATATGTAGTTTTTTAACAAAGTAGATTACAGTCGCTACGAACGATCAACTGGTTAATGCTTATAACGACATCTCTCGGTGAATTTTTAATCTGTTTTGTAATTTAAACGACGTTTCAATTATTTGCTTCTATTTTATCGTAATTAATTAATTTGTTTATAAATATAAGTATTCTGAATTTAGTAATTATTTTTATAGATAAGAGGAAAAACAATAGAACCGTTAATTGAAAAGTTAATGCATTCGATAAAACATAATACTCTTATTGGGGTAACAATTGAAAAAAAATATAATTTATTACTAAAAATGTACATTCATTATCAATGTGAGTTAATTAAGGCAGGATACACAACTGCGCAATAGACATGCTCTAAGTGGCTGCACGCGCAGGCACCTACGTCGTAGTGATAATTAAATAGATCACAGAATTCTTATGTTGGAAAGTCGAATCGCGATCTGAAAGAAAAGTGGAAATAGAAATAACCATTCGCAGCCGAAAAGCAAGTTGCACTCACCGTCGTTCAAGGTATTACATCCGTACTGCGCGGACAATCGATCGTCGAAGAGACACGTCAAGGGAACCTTCGGGAAAGCTCTCTTGAAAGCTGTAACTTTACACAGCCACATATCGGCGGTCAACTGGTCGTTTGGAGCGCAGCCGAAAGCTCGCTCTCTGTCCACGGGGAGCGTAGCGATGGCGATCGAATTCGATCGCAATCTTATGTTTTTTCGAAAATCCAACAGCCGCTGCGTGGCTTCGTCGGCCGTCAGATCGAGGCTCAGCACTACCGAGTAGGATTTCATTGCCGAGCCGTACAGCCTCAAGATGAATCCGTAGTTAATGTCCTCCGCGCCTGAGTTCGTGGAAAAGACGTCGATGAAGTAGCAGCCGCTCCCGAATATCGAGTACGTGCCCGGATCGGACCTGCGAACGTAAAATCGCGAGCTTTTACGGAGATCGTTCGGCGACAAGTCGCGACGAAATGTCATTTACCTTGCCTTCACGTGCCTCAAGAAGTTCTCTGCGTGGACTTTGGCCCGCTCGATGTACCAGTCCAGGACGCTGTCGTAAACACGGGCCAAGAAGACTATGTAGCAGCTGTGCTCCCCACCCGAGCCGTTCATTTGCAATTTATCGCATGTCTGCTCCATCAATTGGGATATGGAGAGATAATCCACGGAATACTGATCAATGTTGAAGTATTCGCTGTTCAGCGAGGGCGTGGACGGCATCGAGATGCCGGCGCCCAGATTCGAGAAGCCGAAGAGCTCGGTCGTGTCCACGGAGAGCATCAGCAAGCCGATCGCGGCGAACGCACTGGACCTCGGCAGCGTGTCCAAGTACTCGCGGTGAACTGAAAAAATTGAAAATCTCGATTCGCTCGTTCGATCGGCGCTGAAAGTTTCGCGGCAGAGCCTACACGGCAAGTCCAGCAGCGTCTGCGCCTCGTAGAACAGAAAGAACATCCGCGGTACGTTCCTCACGACGTTGCTGACGTGCCATTCGGTGAGCGCGCCTTCCCTCGTGCGACGATAGTACGGAATGTTATTGTAGTGCTCGAAAAAGTCCTCGCCGTCGTTGTAGCCCACTCCGTGGATGTAGGGAGTGATGTACAGAGGCAAAATCAAGCTCTGGAATTCGTTGCGCAACTGAAGCTCTTTCTGCGCCAGCTCGCGCCATAATCTGTTCGAACATACGTTTTAGGAAATTGACGTGCTATCTTGCGATTGTCCTAATGTAGCATAAGACATTCCATATACCTGCAAGTGTTTATGACTTGCCGGAGATCATTGAAATTTAGATAAGAAAATATTTTCTCTAAAATATCTCTCAACGACAAAGTGTACTGTGTCACGCTATTCTCTTCAAACCCTGCGTTTTCAACAGTGCTCATGGCTTTTAATCGACTATTCTACAATTGTAGCACAAATTAAAAAATATTGTTCACTTTCAGTTTCAATGTGTTTGAATGGCGAGCGTGAAAGCATGGTATGAAGTAGCGACACAGCCCGCGAGAGCTTGCACTTGCGCGCAGCGACATCGCGACTGCGAGTAGAAACAACCACTATTGCACCTATACGCAGCTAACCTAACGGGACCACTGCTCATACGTGGCTTTGTTTAAACAATTTTTATTTTCACGGCTGTCACATGTGAAAGCTGCGTGATCGTAAGTATCTACAGTGGTTCAAACGCACAATGATCATTTCTTTTGCAATCTGCGAGTCGTGAATGGATGTAGTTTTCATCGACGTACAAAACAAAATGCAGTTATGATCTGTGATTTTATTTACCAAAGTGTGAAACTGAAGTACTCACGTGCCACTTCCGCGTAGAAAATCGAACGGAATTTTCCGGAAGTGGATTTTAAATTAACTTGAAGAAATGAAAAAGCATATTATTGTACATCTGCGATGTGCCATAATGGATATACACCCAACCCTTACAATTGATTTGGCATTGATTAATCAAAGAGTGTGAAATACTTACGATGATGTTATTCGACGTGATACTGCTGCGAGAACACATTGTAAACTGCGATTTGGCAGACTCGCAAATTCTTTGACTACATATATTTTTACTCTTCAACCTCGGCTTCAAGGTTAACAAACGCGCGAAAATTTGAAGCTTTCATATTGTATAGTCGAATAAATAAATAATGTCTTTCAGTCGTTTGCCTATACAAGTGGAGTAAAGAAGCGTAGGGGTAAAAAGTATTATACACATATTTGTCATTTATTTTGATTAAGAATATGCTTAGGCACAGCAATAATTGGATATTTGATGAAAAATTTTTAATTTCTTTAAAAAATCCGTATAAGTTACAAATGTTAATTTTTATAATTAGGTTGTAGACATGACCAAATAAATCACAGAGTCTTTGTGTTCCATTGAAGAGTCGTGAACTGAAATAAAAGAAAACAACTTTTTTGGCATTCAATTCAATTCTTGAAGTAATGCAATTGCGTATATATAATGCACTTTACCATCATTGAGTGTGTTACATCCAATTTGAGTAAATGTTTGATCATCGTAAAGACATATCAATGGAACATTGGGAAATACTTTTTTAAACACATCCGTTCGGTGCAAATAGATGTCTGCGTTCAATCGATTCTGCCGCGTGCACTCGAAAGCTTGTCTCTTGTCAACGGGAAAGGCTGCGATGGCTATTGTGTGAAAATTCGCGTTCACGCCCTTTTTGAAAGCTCGCAATTGCTCCTCGACGATACTGTCCGGCAAATACAGACTGAGAACGACCGACCAAGATTTTACAGCTGGACCGTACAGCCTCAGTACGAAGCTGAAATTCAAGTCGTTTTCACTCGATACCGGAGTGAAAACGTCCATGCAGAGACAGCCGCTTCCGAGAATTGAGTACGAGCCAGGCTCGCATCTATGCAACGTCAGGGAAAATTGCGATCACTCGATTGCGCTCTCGAACCATGTTATTTTTGACCGCGACTTACCTCTTCTTTAAGCTTCTCAACAATTCAGAAATGTAGGCTTTGTTTCTCTCTTGCAAGTAATCCAATGTGCCGTCGTTTTCGCGATTTTGGAAAATTAAAAAACAGCTGTGACCCTTGTCGGTCGAGGAAATTTTTAATGCAGCCATTGCGTCATCTACTAATTTCTCCGCGGTACTTTCCGTTAATGAGAAATCGTCGACCATAAATACTTCGTTGTTCAATGAATTCGTGGAGGGTATGGAAATTCCGGTGGCTAAATTGGAAAGTCCAAAAATTTCTGTACTGTCCATAGACAGCATCATCAAACCAAAAGTAGCGAACGTCGCAGATTCTGGCAACATTTTCGTGTATTTATAGTGATCTGAAACAAGAGGCAATAGAATTCATTTTTTCTACTTGAACTCTCGTTTCCAATTCGATAGCAGTACATGGTACGTTAACGGTCGTTTGAGCCTCATGGAATAAAAGAAATACTTTCGGTATGCTTCTCACAACGTCAATTATATCCCATCCAGTGTCCAAATCGTACTCCAAGCGTTTGTCACTCGGATCACTTTGATCTTCATCTCCTTCGCAATTTAACGCACAACGGTACGAAGCGATGTACAATGGCAAAAGCAAACACTGAATTTCATTCCTCGTTGCAAGCTCTGTTTGAGCAGTTTCGCGCCACAATCTATATTAATGAAACACGTGACGTTGTACGTATGCATTAGAAAACAAACATTCGAATTAAAAAAAAAATCATTTACCTGCAAACGGCAGCTGCTTGTCGAAGACTTTTTACATTTAAATAAGAGATGATATTTTCTAAAATATCGTAAATTGAAAGTGTATATGCAATAATTTCATTATTTTCATTTTCTTCTTTTTCATCGTACTTTTCAATACTATCCATTTTAATGACAATATTAATAAATATCCACGCAGTGTAATTTCAACTAATTCTTTTCACGTGATCTTCATATTTATGCAACAAATTTTTTGACGAACGGCGCAACAACTGCAATGGCTTCTCACGTCGGCTACATCTGAAGAGTCATAGTATACCGAAACGATCTACAAGCCCGATCTCTCTAGTTAGTGTGATAGTCTAATTACATAATCATTTGGTATGTATGAACTATTTATATCTCTAAGCTTGAATGTTAAACGCGCGCGAAAATTCAAATAACGAGTTATATTCGAGAAACCCGATTTCCACATCATTTAAGAAAATATTTTTTTTTCATCAAAGAAAATATTTGTCTTTCGTGTTAGTACATACGAAAAAATGATAGTTTGTAATTTCTTTGATATTAATTCCAATGAATAGTAAATTATTTTTATATGCATTTTGTATGCAATTGAAAATAGCCCCATTGCATTTACGGTATTCTCAGATAACTTCACCATTACTAATTATGAAGCTCGAGGATATATTGTCTGAAATTTCCCAATTAAATTACCAGTTGAAATGATCGATCCGCCGAAATGTGAACATAAGAATGACACCCGAATTCTGAAAATATCTGATGGTCTAATTCAAGGATATCGAGCGTCTATGTTAAATTGCAAATTGAAGACTGGACGGATGTTGAACAATTTGACGACATGCTACATAAGTTGATTTTCTTGGGCATTCTGGGGCAGAGAACGAGAGGCGTTTACTCGTACTGTAAAGTATTGACGATTCCTTGGCTGACGAAGTAGACAATATCCTAGAGTACGCCTGACGTTATTTCGAATTTTATATCGCGAACAACGGAAGAAGGAAAGTAAATGGCTTCGTCTACAGATTTGTAAAAGTAATTTTGAGAAAAATAACGAAAACAGTTAGTTCGACTGAACGTAATACCGAAACTTATAAGAGCTTGGAAAACACCGGAATAAGTATTTCCGCATTACTGTTCTGCGTGATGCGAACATCTCGTTACAATAAATCAATCGTTTCCTGACAAGATCAATCAATAGTACACGAAAATGGCTTGTGTGCTGCGAATTTTATTCAAATCGAAAATCAGCTTATCCATAGCCAATGTAGTTCACATCGTGTGTTTGTCCATCGTCATTCTTATCTTTAATTCTATTATTAGATAAGTGACTTACCTCTTTATTATAATACATTATCTCATCTCATTCTACGAGGGCATTAATCATGAAAGTGAAGAGAAAAGCAGGGGTTCTCGGACAAACGACAGAGTTCCCGTAGCTTTCCAGTGGCAATTCCAAAGCGCCAAGTTCTATGTCATTGTCTTAATTTGCCTTTTCCAGCCCACGCGAGTCAAGCCGTTAGTCTAAATTCTTTTGTACGTATTATTTTTCTCCGCGGCATTCCGCGCGCCAGACGCTCGCGAGACCGCATAGCAGCAGCGCCGGGCAGAGGCACTCTGAAAAATGCGCTTCCGTTAGGCCAGAGGAAACCGTCAATTACTATCCCGTTCGATAGGTATATACGTAGCCACTTTGGTCAATCGCTGAAAACGGCCGCAGCGCTGCCGGTTCGCATAAAATACGCATGATTTCGGTTTGGAATTCTCTTGACAAAATGGCTTTTGCTCTGTTTAAATACATTTTTATAGTGTTACGATGTATAAATGTACAAGTTTTCGTTATTTACAAAAGGGGGATCAGTACGCAGGATTATAACAATCGACATTATCATTTCTATAAGCTTTCATTACAATATAATCGCTATTGTGCCGCGCGTAGCGTAAAAAAAAATTATACAAAAGGTGTAATGTTATTATCCGATTAACAGTAAAAATCATTTTCTTACGCTGCATTCGCTTGCGCCTCGTAATTGCTAGAAGATACATATTTCGCGTTACATATTTACGCTACTTATGACTTGTCAAACTTGTTGACGGCGTTTTTATATTCGCTATTTTATTTGTTTTTCAAATCGTTGGGTCGTTTCTACAACGTAAAGAATAACAGTATAATGCATCGCAAACTTAATTATTCCGGACAAAGACCAAACGTTCCTTTTCATTTGCCATGAGATCGTAAAAGAAAATCAAATCTTGCATAAATACTGATAATAGCAAATTTATAGATAAAATGATGCCATAAAACACAAACAACGATAACGAATGAATTGCTTAGCTTTGAAATCTTAAAAATTTAGGTAAAGTTGAAAAATTACTCTCTAAATCGACCACGACCTTCGATAAAGTACGAGTGGTCGTGAAGAGCACATCGCTTGTCATTGTTTCGCTTGTCACGTGAAAATGCCATTAGAATTCAGTTACGGGAAACTGAATCACAAATGGAATTCGTACTGCCACACCTCGCATCGCGTATTTCTCGAGCGCGACTGATCAGCGCTATGCATGTGATTTTCGTTCTCGTCGCTGAAATCGGCGAAGTTGGACGCGAGCGAAGAAAAGAAGAAAACATCGCACTCAAGCTTAAATGAACTCCGTGACGAAAATCTTCTTGAAGTCCGGCGCTGAGCCACCCAAGTCGTGCCTGCAGATCTCTCCGCTATCCAAGTAGCTCACATCGGAACTCTTGAGTATACTCTTGAGGCTCTCGATCGAGAGCGTCGGCAATTGCTGCCTGGCTTGCGCCGCATTGTTGAACTTGTCAAGATCGTTGAGAGAGTAACCGGGACTCATCTTCTTCTTCAATTGAAACGACTGAATGATCGGCTTGCAGTTGCCGCGAGTCTTCGAGTGGTCGGCGCTGTTTGCGCCCATCTCCGAGTGATTGACTTCGATTATGCGCGGGGTAAAGCTGCGCATGCTGCCCTTGCCCTCGAGCGGCCTCGGCGTTTGGCTCTGTAGCTCCTGCAAAACAGCGCAGCGTTGAAACTTCAACGGCACGTCTGCGAGCGACTCGCGGCAGAGGAATGCCGGGGCCTCGACGAGTCGCGAATTGCCACTCGTCCGTGGCGCCATGGGATTGCGCGTCGCCGCGCTTCGCGTAATTGACGGCCGCTACGGCACACTTCGTTAACAGTCACTTTCGGCTTGACAATTGTCGCCATTCCAGTTCTCACGTCGCGCGGAAAGGGAGGCTTCGTAACGCTGCGACCGTTCAAGCCCCACCCCCCCGAATGATCCCGCGTCGAATGCGATAATGGACGCAACCGTAGACTTCCGTGCGGAGGAGGGTCGCGCGTCGCGGCAAAATCGCGGAATCTAGTGACCGTACGACGCGAAGGGTCTCGTCGTAGCGAACGGGAGCACGCGCATACCTTGGTGTTCTTGCGCTGGAAGAACTCGAAGTCGTCGTTGGCGACGGTCGTCACGGAGCAGCAGCTTCGCGCCCGACTGCGGCACGAGCTCATCGTGTCGAAGTCTTGCTGATCGCTGTTGACGTCGCAGCTCTCGTCGTCCGACGTCTCGTAGCCGGTGCCCTCTCCCTCCTCGTCCTCCTCGTACTCTGCGAAGGATCGATCATCAAGTCAACCCGACAGCTTGGACTCGTTCGCCGAGGCGTCTATTTTCCTCGCGCTCTCTCGCGACTACGGCCGCTTAGGAGGCGCTCCGGCGCGACTGAGACGCACATCGGGATAAGGATGCGCGCGACCATCTCGAGCGTTCGCACGCTCGAGCCGAGGGGCGCAGTCGGGTGGAAGCGATCGAACTCGCGAAGGCACGAGTTGGCGCGCCTGGCTGCCGAACTGCTCGGACGTCTGCGATCGAGACGATCGATCACGGTCGCCCCCGTCGCATCTCTAGGCGAGAAACTCGAGCGCCGAGCCAAGGTAGCTCCCGGTAAAAATTGAAACAGGTCGCTCACCGTCGCTCCTCCTCGTCTGCTCGAACAGCTGCAAGCTCCTCTTGAGCGCAAGCTCCCTCTTGACGTCGTAAGTCCTGGAGGTGACGAGCGGCAGCTCGATTCTCGGGTAGGCTCGAGGATGCAAGTCGAAGCTCTGATTCCTCCTGAGCGCGGCGGCGTTCGGTCGGGCAGCGCGCACCTGGAGAACGCCCGGCGGCGGGTTGTACGCGCGATCCTCGTGGTGGCCCATGACGCTTCGCGCGTTGCGGCGCGGCGTCTCCTCGCGAATCTCGTCCAGGCTCTTGGCGAAGTGCCTCAGCCGACGGGCTCCGTACTGCTGCCGACAAGTGCAAAAACGGCAGGCTCGGCGCGATTCGGTGGTCTGGTGCGCGGGAAAGCGAAGCGACTCACGCCATAGGACTGATCCTCGAGCTGCATCAAGCTCTCGACTTTCTGCCCGAACACGTCCCCGCTGCCGTTGGCGGCTTTCCTGCGCAGATCGTATCCCAGCTCGTGGTGCCTCTGAACGCACTGGCCGTTGCTCGTGCTGTTGGCGCGACTGAGGTCCGCGCGCACGATCGGCTGATGATGCATCTTGGGCGACTTGCCGGGTTCGAGATGCTGCCGCGAGCCGAAATTCGAGCTCGCGTAAGACGAGGTTTCGGCTGCGATCGCCGGGTAGGCGCTGTCGCCGCTTGACATCACGCTTCGTCCGTACTGATGAACGCCAAGTAGCATCGTACCGTTGCGACCTGAACACGAACGTTTGCGCGTTACTTTTCGACGCGAGAGAGAGGGAGAGGATTATCAGCGCGCGATGGCGATGAGAAAACACAGCGAACAACAAGTGGTCTCGAGGCGATTATACGATAATCGCATTTTCTCAAGGGGAAAAACGATTGCCGGCGCACAATCGCTCGGTCGACGGTTTTCAGCGAGCAAACGTCAAGAGCACAGCGAGCTTTCATTTAGTGCCGAGAGAAAGGGCATGCGCACGTACCTCGAGTTGTCGGATGGCTGTTGTGCAAGCGACCGTACAGGCTGGCGCTGCCGGCGCCGTTCACCGGGAACTTGAGCCCGTGATTCAGATTCAGCTGCAGCTTGTACTCGTTGTCCTGCTCGAAGTGACGGAACTTGCCGTCCACGCCGCCTGCCGACACATCGTTTCGTGTATATACACACACGTGCGGCCAATTCGATCACGGAGTCTCTCGGCCTGTCCGATGAGTGAACGGCTCCCCGAAACCGCGAGCTTCTCCCCGGCGGACTATCGATGCAATTAACGACCCGTCGATCGAGTCTGCGAGCGTTGCATAGCGTCTCTCGGCGGAGCTTGCGCAACGACGCGACAAAGGAGCATTCGCTCTCTCGAAGGAGCGATGCGCGGCTCGTCTCAACTTCGCGACGACTGGATCGTTGAGATTGCGAGGCGGGCATTTTTTTTTGTTGGTTTGCGGTGCGCGCAGTTATTGCGTTATTGTCGTCGCTGAATGTGGGTTGTGCTGTCGATGCTTTCGCGAAACCGCTATTCCGAGTTCAAGGGAAAATTTCATTGAAATTATCGTGGCAATAGTAAAATTTGATCGAGTAAGACCGAACAAAATCGGTATTTCAAACGAATATTTGGAAGAAAATTTCAGCAACGGAAACGTAGTTTTCAGTTTTAGTCGAATTTTTATCGAGAAGAATATGTTAGGTCGTATTCCAAGCGTAACTATGGTCACCAAATCAAATCAAAACTCATCTGTCGTGGCTCGGTGTCATCCACGAACAATGGTATATAATTTTTCAATCGAACGACTCAATTCAAAGGCAAACATGAATTAAGCATTACCGTGCGTGAGTCTGGTTTTGGTGTCCTGCTTGGTGTACACTTTAGCGACGTAGCGACAGAACATTTTGTCAAAGATGGCCAAGAACACCGGCAACAGGGTATCCTTCAACAATGGCAGCCACGTAGCCAAATTCTGGGCCGTGCAGAAGTCCCGCAGCAAGTCCGGCCTTATCGAGACGACCTGCGAACGCAGAGACAACGGCATTGGAAACCAGAAGAAAAGCCTCGTCTCGACTTTCCCGATCGTAAAAATACACAGACTTTCAATTTTACAATCCGTTCGCGCGCGCGCGCATTCACGTGCCGGGGAACCCATATAAAGAGAGGGGAAACTCGCACTCTCCTTAGGCTCATACTTTCAAAACGTCTAAAGCGCCTCGCTGGCCACGCCGCTGGCAGTTACGTGAGCGTGAAATCCGCGCGGGCAGATTTGCAACAGCCGCCTCGCCTAATTTGAAAATGGCACGCGCTTATTTTAATATGCGGGCGTCGCCGCGCTACACCTCGGCGATTCCGAGCGCGCGCGGAAAAACAGCAGGTGCCGAGCGGAGAATTTTGTAACGGCTGCCGCGTGGGCTTTCCGATGCTGCGCGCGCGCTTGCGAACGACGCGTCTGTTCCTCATCCTCCGTCTCCTCGTAACGTTGCTTTTTTTCTTTTCTTCGTTTTACGATCGCTCGCTTCGCCCGGCAATTCGGGCGAGCGCTCGCGAAGAGATCTACGAGGGAAGAGCGATTCGCGCGATCCCAAGTGCAATTACAACGTGCCGAAAGGCCGACGAGCGGCGTTGCATGCTGTTACGCAACGCGACCGCGGATAACCGCGAGGAACGGTAGGTTCATCGGGGGTCCGAAGGTTTTCCCATCGTGCTTCGAGAAACTCGGTCGCCACGTCGACGTGACGTTACGCTTTTGGGGTACTTTCCCTTGGGCGCGTGTCGGGTTCGCGCGCGCGCGCGCGCGCGCGTTCGAAAACTAATATGTGACTTGGATGCGTGCACCGCACGCGATAACTTTTCCACTTTCGCACGCGCGCAGATAAATAACAGATGTACGTATTTTCTTTCGCGGCGTGTAGTGTCGATTAATCATATCGCCTGAGTCACTTTCTACTGTGCAAAAAAGCGGATGGTGCTCCTCCCTACCTACCATTGTGTTGTTACACGCGTCTACCCATGTGTGTCGCGCGTGTGTGTGTCTGTGTGTGCACGCGCGCGCGAGAGGATCGAAAGTTTTATTGCTTCAGAAGGATTCGCTCTCGTTTTCACCTACGTTTTGTTCCTGTCAATTTGTCCAGTAATATAACGCGACTACGTTAAGACCGCTTGATCGTCACGACGAAAGTCGACGATTACGGATGACATTTGAACCCGATTTCGTGAGATAAACTTCATTCGCGCGTGGTTGCGTCAATACACGGTAAAACTTCGATCCAACGAAATGACACGCAGTGACGGGAAAATTATTTCTTTTTTTTTCGTCACGCGCGCACCCGAATGATTATTTTAACAAGTAAACGAGAGTTGGGCGTTACTTTTAATAGCCCACGTGGCCACATGTATATTCAGAGCGAGCGCAAAAACAACTTCTCCTCGTTCGACGCAATTTTCCCATAACTGGACTTTCTAAACTATGTATCTGTCGGACGCCATCGTCGACATAACGTACGTCTCCTCTAAAACAAAACAAAAAAAGCACAAGTTCTTCTTCTCGATCCCGATAAGAATCCATTCGGACGTTGTTCTCGCGCTCTGTGCCTTATTCTTTTTTTTTTCCTTTTTTTTCATCGGGCGTTCGAGGGAGCGTTGACAGGGCGAATCTTACGCCTCATCGGGAATGCGTCACTCTTAATTGACGGCGAAACGCGCGCTGGAATCAGGAGAAACTGCTCATCAAGCAGATCAACAAGGCATAAAATACATAAGAACGGCGCTCGCTTTCGTAATTTCTCACTGCGAATCGCGAATGCACCAGCGCGTTATGAATTCCCTTTCAAAAGCGCCAATCGTCGCTTCTCCGAGAGAACTTTTGCGTCATCGCCGCCATAAAGAGCCGAACAATTGGCAAGAGCGTCGACGCACGCGAAAAGAAAGGGGAAGGGAGCGAGGATTATTCAGGCGCGAACAACCGCTATCGACAGCTCGTAAAACTCGGTGCGCGCGCGCACACGCCACCGCGGTCGTGCGTCCTCATTATACCAGCCGCGGCAAACAATAGGAGTATTAATACGCCGGACGGGGAGTTCTCTCTCTCTCTCTCTCTCGCTGCCGCGGAATTCTTATAGCGTCTCAAGGAAGTACGCTGCCACGAGGGCAATCCGAAGCCACTTTGACTGTCGCGCTCGCGGTTTCGTCACACGCGCGAGTGGTCGTCGCGCGATTCCGCGACGCCGCCACAGCCTCCGCGCTCCATTGGCCAACGAGGCTGGTCGCTTCATGGCAAAACGCGCGTGTGCGCGGCGCATTATGCACTTTCGCATCTCCCTCGCGTGTACGAGAGAAAGAGAGGGGGGAGGCGGGAGGGAAAAAAAGCGTCCCGTTAAAACGTAGTGGCACGCTATCGCATCGCGACATTCACCCTTTTTCACGCGAACCGCGCTCCACGGAAGTCGTAGTCGCCGAGCTTCCGGCGTGCAGCCACTCGCACGAGTATCCGTGACGGCGTGCCGCTGTTGTTTCCTCTATTTCGCTACGATTCCTGCGGCGCTCGTCGACGGCTCGCGCGCTATCCCCGCTAGACTGGTACGAATCTCGATTCTCTACCAAATAAACGGATACGTCGACGCCGCATCAGCTCAGCGCAAATCACGTCTGCAATTGTCCTCTTTTTTTCCGCGTCGCGCTGCCAGCGAGGAGCAGCGCAGACGTGCTCGCGTGGCGCTTTCCCTTGGGCGCGGGCCGACTGCACCGCGCGGCTCTCGATCGGTTCGTCGCAACCCGGGCGGCTGTCGTGCGATTCGGCCGAAGGGACGAACGAGCCTGGCTCGCTTCTCTCGCGCAACGCGTCAGCCACGGGCATCGAACTCACCAGCAGCGGCAAATGATCAAACGCGTAGCACACGAACAGGATGCTGTAGACGGTGGACCAACCGCTCGACTCGTCGACTTGGACGACCGAGCTGCGTCGTCCTTTCAAGCAAGCGCGACTGTTGGTCGAGCCACTCGTGCACGATCCGCTCGACGGCTGGTCCCATGCCTGCTGCTGCTGCTGCAGCTGATTACCGTAGTGGTGTTGGTGGTGGTGGTGATGCGGGTGCTGGCACTCGAACGAGTTCTTCGAGCTGGCGTCCGACAGGTCCGACACGCTCTTGAGCAACTCGGCTTTGGGGGACGGGCGGCACGATGCCCGGCACAATGCCGCGAGCAAACTGAGGGGAGCAGAGCAAAGGCGGAGAGTCAGACGAGTGCGGGCCGGAACGAGCGCGAGATCGCTTACCTGAGCACCGTCGCCACGACGAGAGCGCATCTCAGCCCGTTGAAGAACAGCCCGTACTTGGGCGATATGTCCTGGGCGATGAACACGCAGGCCTCGGGCTCGAAGTTGAGGATGCCGGTGACGCCGATGCAGGCGCTTATGACCGTGAGGCTAACCACGTGGTACTTGAGATGGTGCTTCTTGATCGTCGGCCCTTCGTCCCTCACGGTCAGCGCAGCGAATATGGCAATGGTCGTCAGAGTCAATTCCTGCAGGATGCTCGACGAGTTCAACGTCCACACGAGCGTCGAGCAGAGCTCTGCAACGACGACCGTCGAGATTTGCGTGAGCGTCCAGCCAGTCATCCGCGAAGCGTTAACCGCGCCGCGGCGAGGGATTTGTGTCAATGCCGATAGAATCGAGACGAGCGGCGCGTGTCATTGCCGATGAGCGCCGCGACGACGTCCACTTACCTCCGAAGTGATTGGCCGGACGTATGAGGGTCAGCATGGCGAAAAGCAAGAGCCCAAGCTGGTGAACCAGACTCTGCGCGAGCACCGCCACCGTCAGCACGTCGATTCGCCGTTTCGTCGGCAACGGTTGATTCTGGTAGATCAGCAGCGACCAGCACAGCAGCAGCACGCTGATCGGCGAGCCGACGCACGTCGCCAGCCATTCGCCTACCTCGCTTCTCATCTCTGCAACGCGGACAAGACAACGATCGTTTGACTGCTATTTCTTGCGGCTGCCGGCTTGTGCATTCGGTCGAGCTGCGTCGGCGGGACTATCCGCGTTATTGCTTTTTCGTTCTACGCGCGCCGTTGAAATTTTTCAATCGACGAAAGCCGCGTCTCGAAACGCGTCGGTAAGAGTTTTTTTGAAAGGCTATTCAACCGGCGAACACCCGAATGCGGCGGCTCGAGCGAACAACAAAAGAATTGTCATTGTGGCACAACGGCGACGCTGGTAATGTGCATACCTCGCGTAACGAGAGTTCACACCCAATAAAATGCTATTTCGAGATGCACTCGTAAGGAAAAAAGAAGGCGCGTTACGTGACTTCGCCTTGAATGGCAATTATTATGGTGAAGGAAAAACAAATTTGTTTTGTTTTTTTTTCTCTTCGCGCCTTCGCGAGGAATGATTATGCGAATTACATGCACTTTGCGCGCGCTTTGTGCGTTTCTTTTCTTCTGCGCATAGCTCGCTAATTCCAATGCTGCATTATCTAATAATGTCCAAGCGAATCGATACGTTCAAACACAACACGATGTGTATTATAAAACCGTATTATTGAGCCGTAATCGTTCGAGGTATAAAAGCTAATCGGCCTATTAATCACCGCTTGGTACATTTGAGCAGCGATCGTTGGGATAATCGGGCGCGCGGTGGAAAAAGAAAGACAAAGAAAAATTTCAGTTCGCGAAATTCCGACGGCTAATGCACTCGCCGAGAGTAAGAAGGAGAAAAAAAAAAGGAAACAGCGCGCGAGCCGTAAAACGGGCGGGAATTCGAGCAGCGAGAGAAAAAGCGGGTCGTGCGGAGGCCTTTGGAAAACTGGCTAAGTGGCGAGAACGCGTATTCTGTGTTTGCGCGCCGAGCCTGCAACTTATGCGCTTTACGCCCTCCGCGAGATGAAAGTGCGGAGAGAAAGAGAGAAAGATAAAAAGCGGACTCTCGTTTATTTATTTATTTATTTTATGCATGCGCGTGGTCACTGCGGAATTCTTTTCTTTTCGGTGCGATCTAATAAAAATCAAGGTCTAACGAATCGGTGTGTGACACGACTGGCATTTTCCGAGCAACTTGATGTGTTGCCAGGCGATTGATTATAAATTACTTTTTGGAAAGGTACTTGTTCATCCTGGATATTAAGGAATGTTACGATGATCAGACTTATTTTGTGCATCAGTCAAGGAGTTTGCTCATTAAACACGCGGACATTCATCAGGATATGTCGAAATTGAGAAAAAACCTGTTTATTCGCGATAAAAAAATGTTATCTTGTCTACGCTTAGGCATACAACACTTTTTTTTTAATTTGTGATGCTTCAAGCCGCTCCTATTGTGTGTACTTTTTAGATTTCCGTATAGATTTGAAACAAAGCATATCGTATGTAATCCACAAAATCAAAAGCCGCTTAACCATGTATTACTAAACTTTCTACTCTCCTAATTTTTTTTATTGTCAAGTCGCTTCGTCATCTCATAACTAAATCCAAGAAAAGAGCCGCATCACGAAGACGGTGTGTATAGCTATTTGTGGGCAAGCCAGTGCGTTAAGCAGGCATGCAAAATGGAGGCCTTTGAAAGGCATACGCGTGCATGTGAAAACGAGGCGTGCGAAATCGATTGGTGTCAGTCAGCGCTCGAAAGGAAATCGCAGCGTGCGTGCGTGCGTGCGTGCGAGCGTGCGCGCTGATGTAATTTTACGACACCGAAAGTGTCGTTCTGACATTGATTTTTTGACTACGCCTTTTTCAGGAACAATAGGAAAAAAGAAGTGGCCGTCGAGCGAACGAGCGCGTTCTCGAGGAAGTACTCAAAGCGCGCACACATCGGAAAGAATAGAATTTTTCTCAGAGCGCGATTTGCGAAGAAAAATTGTTGTTCACGGCGATCATTCGCTCAGCCGGCTAATTGAATCTCTTATTGTGATTTCTTTTTCTTCTTCCCTCTCGCTCTCCGCCTTTGTAGAACTTTCACCTTTTTCGCGAGATTCTTCGTTCGTGATGTTTTCCCGATTTTCTACATTTGCAAGACTCGCATGCTCGTTGCTCGGGATATTTCGCGTTTCTACAGGAGAATCGACGAGGCGAACTGAATTGTCTTTCCTAATGAATAAATGTATTTGTTTCAATGGCAACGAAATCATTATTTTGAAGCTTTCTACAATCTCTAAATATTTATGAATATTTGTTGATTTTCATTAAATTTCATAAAATATTATCAATTTTTTTGTGTTGGACTTGTTGGATAAATTTACTAAACAAGTACTATCCAGCATACAGTCCACCTAACGAAACATTATCCTATTCAACCAAGTATATCTCCTAAGATTGCAAAACATATCAAGGAAGCGTCCAAGTCCCCAACGCATAAATTGCGTCTGTGAGATGCCGAGCGCGCATGCGAATACGTGAGCCAAATGAAAATAGCGATTTTCGACTATCGCCAATTGTAGAGGCCAAAGTTGATATCTCGCTTCTGGTATTCTTCATTCGCCCCGCGTGATTTCTTTTGTAACAGCACCACGTGTTCGCCATCAAGAATTCTCGTTGCAAAACGCACTCGCGGTTCGTGGGCAATGACGACTGCGCGCCACGTCGCAGACAAGACGATTTCCAGTGGCAACCGATCGCCGCATCTTCATCGATCTACTTTGGCCGTTGGACGCGCTCGCAAGTGGAAGCGCGACGAGCGAGAGCAGCGTCTCGATGCGTTTGATACGCAGAGGCGGCACATTTACCTACATTCCTCGTGCCGCGCGCGCTTTTCCCGCGTGAGCGTCGGGTCGCGCCAAGTCGACTCCGTCGACGGCCTTGATCGTTTGCACGGCTGGGCGACTCGCTGGACAAGTCGCGCGGATCGAGGAACTGCTGGATAGGTGCCACTTGAGGATCGCGCGCGCGCGCGTCATTCCCACGCGACGACGCGAGTCGTTCGCCGCGGTGTACCGCGTCTCCGAGCCGCAACTTTGCGTGCGAGGCACTCGCTTGGTTAAAAAAAGTGCTTTTTACGATGTGGCTTTTCCTATTTGCCGCTGTATTATCGCCGCTGATTGCTGCGCTTAGGATCGAATCGACCATCTGCCTCCACGTAACGTAATAGTGGTCGCTTTATTTTTTCGATTTAGCTCAGCGTCACAAAAATCAAAATCGTGACCAATCCTTGTATCCGCATATATTACTTCGTCGAAAATCTTTATTTCATATCTCCGAGAATTAATTTAACGTAGAGATAAATATAAATTACTCAAGCTACGTCTAGCGGCGAAATATCGAACGCAAATCTCAATGTTTTCCCCGAAAATGTTGAAATTTCAGCGATCCATTCGACAGGTTCCTTGAAATGTACAGGCCCCGCGTCCTCTCGCGACCAGCGTACATGGAGAGAAGAGAAACAAGATATACCAACAGCAGCATGCAGAAGATTGCAATCTCATCGTACACACATCGCATTTCAAGCAATTAAGTTCCCCCATGGCGAACAGCGAAGAAACCATGCAAAATTGCATTCCACCCTCGATTTTCTCTCCTCTCTCTCTCTCTCACTCTACTAACGACCTTCAACCGCGAAGTATGAAATATATCTTACAAATTTTCATCCATAGGGTTTCACGAAAACTAGAGCAAAGCAAAGTGCTTTGCGTGTTGCTAATAAGCAGCCAAGTGAAATTGCGTTCGATGAGCCATGCACTGGCGCGGACTGCCTCGAGTACGCCGGATTCCGTTTTCCTTCGAAGAAACAACTTTTCGGTAATGATAAAACTAGTCTTTTTTTCCAAATTGCGCTTTCGCAAGAGTTAGACGAGCAATTTAAATTATTCGCGATTGGATCAGGTCGATTATTAAAACGCACGGGCGTCCACGCCTCGTTGACTTTTAATCGCGCTCTTCGAATCTACGGTGACCCGGTTGCCAAGCTGCGAGCACGTCGGATTCGCGCGCGAGAGCAGCTGTTTTCACAGGCGTCGAAAACAACAATGAGACAACGAATTTGCCCGGCCTGCCGAGGTGAAAGAAAAGCCCCGAACAATAACTCGCTCGTCGTCAAAATTCATAAATCAAAGCAAGGCACACTGTCGCTGCGCGCGCGACCGAACAAAAGAGGCGCGCGCGCGCGCGCATGATCCTCCGCCGACGCGACACTCCTCTTCAACGAACAAAGGCTTGTTCAAATTCTTTTTTTTTCCTACCCCGTTGTCGATGGCCGTGTCGCGGCCATTGCGAAACGGCGACCTTTTCTTTTCGCGAGCGTAGTTGTCTATCCGCGTGCGTCGTTACGACTGGTCGCTGCTCGCCGGCCGATCTTGCCAACGGGATTCGAGATGCGAATTCGCGATCGTCTCCCGAATCGCGAATCCAATCCCATTGACACGCTGAACTTCTCGGGAGACACGACGCGCCAAATCGGAATACCGTCTCGACCTCCTCGGCCGCGAAATGCCAACGGGAGACACGCCCACGCGAGAGATAAACCGCGGCACATAGCGACTTTAATGTCGCGGACGAGTGACTGCGGTGAACCTTGAATTGTCTTCGAACGGCATCTTTCCCGGAAACTTGTCTTCGCTCTCGACACTGTCCCAGCCCAAAGAAAACGCTGCGATGCGGCCGGCGCGTCGAACATTGAATTCGGACGTTCTCTAAAATGGAAAAAGGAAGACGAAAAAAACGAGCGGAAACTCTCTCTCTCTCTCTCTCTCTCTCTCTCTCTCTCTCTCTCTCTCTCTCTCTCTCTCTCTCTCTCTTACGCTGTTAACGGTAAAGCAGCGAGGTACGCGAATCGTAGCTCTTTTTGGTTATCGTCGCGCGGTGCAAATTTCTTTTTCTCTTCTTCTTTCTATTAACGAGTCGATGCGAGTCGCGATTAGGAGCGATCGACGCGTGTATCGCGCGTAACTGCTTGATCGCGCTCGAAAGCACAGGCGGCGACGAGGACGAGGGATCAAAACACGCGCCTGGCGAACCGTTACGTCGAATCGCGAGAGAGACCGCGGCAGGATGCTCGAAACAGGTCTTCGCGCGGAGACGACACTGCGATCGTTGGAATAATAAATAAAGGGAACACCTCCACGGGCTGCACCTGCACGACGACGAGAGCAGAAAAAAAAAGGATTTTCGTATAGCAAAGAGCGCGACTGGCTCACGTGCTACAGGCGATAAATTAGAGCGACGTTACCCACTGCGCAGCGTTGTGGCGAGTAGAAAGTTGCATGACGCGACGTATAGATTGTGGGTCGGCAGCGCGCGCGCGCGCGCGTGCATTGCACACACGATACACTCGGTGCACGGGGTCGTCGGGATTTCGGATCGCGCTCGGGAAAACCGTGATCGCGCGACTCTCGAGCGCCTCGCGCGCACCGGTGACCCGTCGTAGCAGAAGGATCGCGCGCGCTTACGGTAGTTAGCCGCGGCAGAGCGAGAGAGAGAGAGAGAGAGAGAGACGAGACGCCTTTAACGCCCGAGAACCAGCGGCAAAAGCTAGCTCGCGAGCATGTTGTAATACCGTAAGCCGGCCGAGCGAAAACCGCTCTCCGCGCGCGTTCGCCGCGCCCGAGATTACGACGACGCAGAGCCACTTGGGGGACTTCGCGCAAGCGCGAGCTTTTGGCGTGAACTCTATACCGATATTCCCGCAGCTTCTCGTTGCGTCAAAATGTCTTCCTTTGGCGCGCGCGCACCTCGTGCATCGCACTTTTTCTTCTCTGGCCGGCGAGTTGAACGTACCTCGGATCGTTTTAATGGGACACCCCCCCCCCTCCCATTCCCCCCTCTCTCGGCAAGCGAATTTCAATTCGTGCCTGAATCGATATTCTACGCGAGCTACGTTGATCCCTGGTATGTGTCATTTTTCCGTAGCAACTTCCGAGTCAATTTTCTCATCCGCGCGGACGAGAATTTTCCGCATGCGTCCGTCTTTCTAATTAATTACAGTCTCAATTATTCATTCTCTTGCCCGCGCGCGAAATTCAATTTCCGGCTAGAAAATGAGAACGCAGAGAAAAAAAGAGTCGAGGCATGTAGTGAATTACGCCCATGATTATGACCTCAAGCCAATTAACTCGGGTGGGCGCTCTTCATTGTCTCGTGTGCGCGCGACGACTGTGTGAAAGTCCCTCAATTGGATATACGTTATTTTTTTTCCTCTCTCTCTCTCCCTCTTTCTCTCGACTCTTGTTTTTGTCCGACGGATTGACGGCCAGTTTCCGTACGAACATTCGTCAAAGTAAAAAAAAAAATCGTTGACCTCCATATCTCGCACGGATTCTTTGAACTCGTCGCTGCGCGAACAAAACGTCTCGACCTACATTTCGGCGCATGTCTATATTAATATGAAGATTTTTCATCCATCGCCCATACTTTCGAAGCACGGAGTGTATCTCTTCGACAAAAAGTTCCCATGGTAGAGAAAAAACGGCCATATTAAGTAACGTAAGGAAGTGCACGATATATATGTTTGTATATATAAAATTCCACGGATATAGTTTGTAAGTCTTACGCGGGCACTGCTTAATATACCTTATGTACGAATTACACTTTATCATGTTACTTAATCAATTTCGACTAACAGGCCTCTTTTTCACAACTTTCCAAGCGCGAGCGGTAAGCCGAGCCATAGAGAGCGGCGCAATCTCTTCAATCCAGTATGCCTCCCTCCCCGACACTCGACGTACGAGAGATTGAGAATCCACAATTTTCCCTACGCGAAGCCTTCCAATTTAGAAAGTGAAACGCACTCTCGATCGTCTCTCCCCTGCGGGTCAGTCATGACGAGTGTAAAAGCCGAAACGATCGGTGCGGAAAAGTGGAGATCGTCGGGAGAGATACCACGAGTTGTCGTCGCACGGATGGACCGAGACCCGCGACAATCAAGACGGCGCCGGCGCACTACGTCACGCCCGCGACTTCGGCTGACATTGGGGGCCGCGGCAATTTCGCCTTGGGACTAGCGGCTATCGGCGCGAGATTGCGCAATCGAAAACGCGAGCGCGGAAACCGATTTCTCTTCGCAGGATCGCGGAATCTAGGCTGATCTGGTGCAACGCCAATCGCGATTTCCATGCGAGCGCAGAAGACGACCTCGTTTGCGGCCTTGAACTCAGCTTGGTTTGTCGTTGTTTTTTTTTCTCTCTCTCTTTCCTCTAGCGCGTTCGTCATTGTGGCGAACAACGACGCGGTTGCCCTCGTCATCGTCGAGCATCGATCATTGTTCCCTCGATCAATGGGTCATTGCGAAAATACGTTTCGAAATGGCAACACGCGGCTTGGCCGCGAGGACGGTGGTTAAATCCTCCTCGTTCTCGGTCAATCGTCGCACGATTGGGGATAGACGCGACGGCCTCGACGCACCGACGACGACGACGATCGCTCTCAGTCTGAAACCTCGCCGAAGACAGCCTCAGCGTGAACTCACCTGGGTCGACTTTGTCCCTTCAGGTTGGCCGCAGCATGCTGCTCGTGGCGATCGATCGCGGCGTCTGCTTCAATGGCGAACGCATATCTCCTCGTGCACACCCTCTCGCACTTCTGTTCCGCGGACCACTTCTCGTCGCGCGCGCGCTATATACTCGACGAGAAAAACGAGTCCCATCCACTCCAATGCACGAGTGATCGATCCAAGCGGTACTGTTTGTACAGCGCGCGATCGTCGACCGGGATCGTTCGATGCACTGCAGTCAAGCGAAACGCAGAGGCGCCGGGAAGCGCGCGCGCGCGGCATGCGATCGACGAGGCATTTCGAACGAGGTGTACCTGTTGAATTCGCCGCCCGATAAGCTTGCCAGCCGAAGCTCGCGATAAACGCGCGCTGAGCTTTCGTTCGGACGCCTCCGCGATGCCGTGCGCGTCTTCACCGCGATGCGCCGTCGCACAGCGGCAACAGACAGCGGCCTGGGCATTCGACTTCTCTCAAATGTTTCTAGCGCGAGCGATCGCAGTGCGCTCGGTTCTCGAGGCGTGCGTCTCTGACGAATTCCCGAAGCTGAAGGGCGAAAACGGTAGCGCGCAGCTACCGCGAAGTGTCCGCCGCGCAAAACCAAAGCGGAAACACACTTCACGCGATCCCGTGAAACGCACTCGAGCAATCGCACATCGGTCGCTGTCTCGCGCGCGGCCGGTGCCAGACTGACTTTGCCTGCGCTCGCAACAAACACTCCGCTGCGCTACGCTACGCCGGAGTAGAAAGAGAGAGAGATTCATATTTGGGTCAGCGGCGCGAGTGAAGGTGCGCGCAGGTATATACATGCGGTAGGCGAAGGTATACCCCCATGCACATGCATTCTTACTTTTTTGCCTCTCTGCTCCGTCTTTTCGGCAAAGGTGCGCCTCGTCGTGACGAGATCATTATCTGTGAGCTTGATCAGTCGAAAAAAAAAAACATTTTCTCCTGTGGCTGATGCGGGATGAGAGAATGCCAATTAATTTAAAACAGACGTTTTTTTTTATTTTGATAATGTACTCACCAATTCGCGAGTTTATTTGGCAGTTTTTAAAATACAATATTTTTTTATGGAGTAGATACGTATAGTCCGTTTTGGTTTTTATAATATATGTATAAAGTTAACAGTTCATAATATATTTAATACTTATGATTTCAGCAGCTGGATGGCACAGAAGAATCATTATGTAGATTGTTACACATGGCTTGGTTTGTTCCGTGAAAAAAATTAACGTAATACTGATACTTTTTAGTAAAATATAATGAAATTCAGACGAAGATATATTAACATTCGATAGATTTAACGTTATAAAAAAATACTTAATTAGCAGTAGAAAATAATTGACATCTGCATAATTTTGAATAATTATGATACGGCTATGTATATTAGTCAGGATGAAATTTAAAGTTAATATTTATCAATAGTTACTGAAACATTCATGTGTATGAATAAAATGATACAATTACTTGAAACGTCGCGTGTATGCCAACTAATTGCTAGAACATAAACTGCCTAACAAGTGATCTACAGTCGCATTAAAATAAAGATCAAACCCACACGCAACAGGAAACTTAAACAATCACTTATAGTTTGATTCAATATTAAATACATAATATCGCATCTAAAACTGTTCTGACTTGCAAGAGCTAGTCGATTCAACAAAAATATAGAAATTCAACGTTTAGACGATTGAATATCTCATAGAAAAATACTTATATACTTTGTTCAAAATGTTCTAACAACAAGAGTTTTTGTTTTCGTAGATATAGGCACATAATCACATTCAACGCGCGCTGTATAAGATATTCTTTGGCTTGTACTCGACGTACTTGGTATAGTTGAGCTGCAATACAACGTACGAGTGATTTTGAAATACTCGACGAAACGGATGAATGCCAGCGCCGTAAAAGAGCAAAGAACACGCTGGCGCCATGCCTTTACTCTTCATTTTACCTTCGTCGACTAGATCCCACAGCTCAGACATCTTACAACCGGGTTTCCTATGAAAATTAAATTGAATTTCAATACTTTCACATTATAGTTTTAATGATCGATGTCTATAAATAATTACCATATCCCGTATTCATTGCAATTTTCTATCACAACATAGTCAACTTGCAACTTTCGTAACGTATCGTGAATTTCGGAAACAGGCTTTCTACTATAAATTTCATATACTTTCATTGTCCTATCCCTAAGAAGCAAATGATTTTTTTAGGTTGGAAAGTTTGTACCTTAAAAAAATAAGATTTTGCAATTTACCTCATTTCTTTACTTTCATAATAAGGATTATTAACAATCGGTCGCTGAGTCGACAACATAACATTTGCCATCAAAGACATTTTACCAGCAAAAACAGCATTTTTTGGCGTTTTTACTTTAATCCATTCAAGCAATTCTTCTTGATGGACGTTACTGTACTCGCCTATCGGAAAAAAATTTAATTAATCATCTCATCTACAATTATTGGTCTTTAAAGTTGTGAAAATCGTACCAATGAATCCTCGTTCTTTCTGCAATCGTTGCATCCCATGATACGACATTATCGATAGAAGAACGGCAATTAAGGTACACTGCGTCATCCACTTTTTAATCCCCAGCTTCGCCAAATATCGCGGACTACACGCTAATCCAGCCATCAAACAAAGATTCGGAGTCATTAAGAGTTTCAGTCTCATTATGAATATTGCCATGATGACAAATGCTCCAGTTTGAAGTACATTGTACGCTACGTGAGGTTCAATACAATTTGGATAGCCTTGACTCTTGAGATTTCTATACCAGTAGTAGAGAATTAAAAAGCCCGCCAGAATTGCAGTTGGCAATAAGAACGTGCCAACTATTGCCTCGTAAGTTTCGTATTTCAGAAAGTCGAATTCGGGAGCACAGGTGTACAACATTGTGTGGAAATCTTTGTAACCTGATATTTTTGCTTTGAGTAGATTAAAGATATGCTCATCGTCGGAACTGTAGGTGAAGGACATTTTCCATATTTTTGTACAAACTAGTATTAGTATTATTTCCAATAACGTTGTCGTTTTAGGATCAAAGATAAACGATAGTAGCTGACTAAGTATTATTGCACATAGACTGATAGAGAGAAGTGTCAGGTGTAAAGAATTGAGTAGGAACATATTTCCTGTAGCAATAAATGCCAAGGTTACTGAGATTGAATGAACTTTGCAGTAGAATAAGTACATATCACGCTCAATTATCCTCAACCATTTCAGAATGAGCATTGCTATGGTTTGAGTTATGAATACAAATTGAGAAAATTGCCAGGACATCATGCAGAAGCCTATCAGAATTATGAAATCCTAGAAAAACAAAATAAATTATCTATTTATTTTTAATAAATTGTCAGTTGAAAAATCATGCAAATATACGAACCACTTGTGTCGTTAGATCTCTCTTTTTCTCCTTTTTCAAAATAAAAGTCAATAGATACATCTGATAGAGGAGTGTAGGATATGCAAAACTTTCTCGTAGTGGAGGGGTCCATTGTACCCTTGTACATTCGGTATGATTAAAAAAGAACAATGAAACAGAAATGATTCCTCCTCCAATAGAATCGCTTAGCTTATAGGCATACATGAACATAACAAATCCAGTAAAAAAAGAAAAGAACCATACTCCTTCTAGGTAAAAATAAACTGGCACACCAAAACCTTCACAGCTTGTTATTGTTGACAAATCATCCCCTCTTTCAATCTAAAATCATATAAGTTATTTAATTTGATATTTTTTATGTATTTACTATTTTTTGTATATACTTACCTGCCAACAAACTGGTTTTGGCAGCAAATTAAAATATTTTGCAATATGGTATAACCCTCCAAGTGTAACCTGATATTCAGCATAAAATGAACAATTAACTTTTAATCTCAAGTCATATCTTATTAAATAAATTATAACATTCAGATATTACCTCAGGTTCCAAGCTATATTTACTTTCAGCATTAATAATATTTGGATACTCTGACAGATTATCATGGCGTATTTTGTACATCCCATCCAAAAATGTCTCAGATTCAACTATTGTTTTAAAATAGGAATAATACAACCCCTGAGTAATCATAATAATCAAATAAAAAAATTGGATGTTGGATAAATAAAATTAACTAAACTGAATGAAATATCACCATTTCTGTGCGAAATGACATCTCACGCTCCAAATCCGACAAGTGTGAAAAGTGCCTCTCATTTTCAAATAAAGTCGACACATGATACCGATGCAAGTAGCCACAGGTGAGTGCTTTAAAAAAGAAAACAACGTAATATTACCTTTTGTCATTTGATCACTCAAAAGAAATAAAAAAATCACGACAAACCAAGCAGCGCAACTGTCAAGTTTTTCAGAAAGCTTTTCAATTCATCGGGCATTGTCGTGGCTTTGAAAGCTACAGTTAATCCCTCTTGATCTTTTAACGACAAATATCTGTTGGTCTCTCTCTCTCTCTCCCTCTCTCTCTCTCTCTCTCTCTCTCTCTCTCCCTCTCACTCTCTCTCTCTCTCTCTCTCTCTTTCTCTTTTTATATATATTCAATGCAGTAATCCTCTCAAGATCACTGTACTGTAATGATTAATGGGTTAATCTTGCAACCCTTTGATGTAAGTACTATCTTTTACTTGCAATCATCGCTTTCGAGTCACAACCATGGAGGTGTTTATACAAAACGATTCTGACTGACACATTCAGTGACACAATTCTGACCCGAGATAAGTCTATGTGAACTATGGAGAAATCTGTGTATTAATTAATCTAGGGACTTTGAAAGGACGTGTATTATGAAATAAAGAAATCAATTACCATTAATTATAAATATTGTAACGACGGGTTAAATACATGATGACAACACCATTAACAAATAAATTGCCTCTCGTTGCGAGCCTAACAACCGCGGGCCGCCTACATCTGTTTGTATGTGTCAAGTGATGCTGCGCATGCGTATCGCGCGACCGAAAACAAGCGCGAAATTACAAATTAAAGCTAAAAACAATTTCAATTCGAATATGAGTTCTTACTGCTAGTGAGGACTAGTGAGGATTAGATGGATGTCAACAGGCAAACATCAAACGTGACATCAAATAAAAAAAAGGATGGAAAGTTTATTACATCTTGCAGCGAGAAAGCAAAGATGTATCGACTGAGACATTTAAACGCACGCAAATCCAAGAAAAAAATAAAACAAGTAGCCACATTTGTGGATTGATGAATAATTAAGTAAAACTTTTTATAGCGTAGACATATATTTTTAATACAGTGAGTTACAAAAATGTTGATTTTTTAAATTTAAAAATAGATAATGATTTGACTGCCTTAAGTATTACTTTGTGGAAAATAAACGTCTCCAAATACTGCGTATTTATGTACATATTCCTTTTTGAAAAAGAAGACAAATACATAAATACATGTATATATACACTATCTATAAACATAACTTAATATTTTTAGGAAAAAATGATGTAAGAGCAGTTAATTTGTTTTCCAGTGTGATATTATTATTGATCGCTAACTAAAAAATGTAAATAAAATGTTTAGCCATTTTAAATTTATTATTGGCTTCATGTGCATATACTTCTAATATTTCATATTCTAAGTATTTCAACAGCAATTCAGGATTCTTGTCATTTGATGAAATTTGTAGTGTCTCTCTATAACTGTAACATCAATACCTCATTTTGTTTTACCTTTGTTCTTCTTGTTGGATCCTTTTGTATTGACCAGCATTGTCACCATAATACTAATGGTTCCAGGATTTTCTCCATTGACATAGTGCAGATCTCCAAGGTTTAAGAGTTCCATTTTAAATTAGTGCCCCCAAAGTGATCAAACATTTTTGTTTTTGTTAATCCACTGAACGTGAATATTTATAAATGATAATGTAAACTGTTTCTGATCAGTACAAGGAAAACATTTTTAATGTTAAAAAGAAAAATCTAGTACAACCACGTTAAATCTGATCGAACAAACAAAATTCGATAAGACAAGAGTATCATCCAGTGAGTCCAAATAGAAAAGATATTCTAGCCTATAACATAATTTCTTGTTCTAAATAACCGAAGCAACTGTATATCTATGTAAACTTAGCATTATAGACACATTAAGCACAAATAGGAAAATCATCGGAATTCATAAGAAAACCAAACGAAAAATTATAGCACACAATGTGTGTACAAATCAGCGAGGAAATGCGATGGCAACTAACTTGCGAAGGATCATTATAACGTCGTACTTACCTCGATGAAACGAAGAGAATAAGATATGTAAGTTACATACATTACTTTAATGAAAATTTGTTGTTATAAAATGAGACTTTGTAAAAAGTACCGTGTTTTCTTCAACTTTCTTTCGCTCTCCCATCTCATTTATCCCCAGCATATCCACTACACAACAAAATTGCAAATTCAGCGCGACAACAGGTCGCAACGCCATCTGTCAACAAGAAGAATCGCCCAGACGCTACGGGACGGCGGACGCCCATTATAAGCGAGCGCTCCCTTGGGTGAAACTGTGAAAGGAAAGGCGATAAATGAAAAATGTACGTTGTATGTGTCTGCAAGTATACGTGAGCGTCGCAGTAGTTCGTGGTCGTTCCGGAAAATTCGAGCTGCCTGGCTGAGCCGTCGTCAGTGTGTGCCAAGATGGCCAATCGGTCTGTTTGTTTACTGCGTGTCTGATATTGCTTGTACTCGCAGTGTACCGTGTATATGAGTGGACTGATGCTTCGTAGAAGAAGATGCAGGACCAGCAGACAAAAGCAGCAGAGTCGAAGGTGAACAAGCAGCAGCAGCTTACGGATGAGGAAGAGCTGCTGCTTGGTCCCATTGAGAGTCTCGCGAGGTTGGAAATTGAACGACAACATCGGTGAGTCTATATCAGAGCATCGTCATGGTGACCTTGGACTACCAAAGAAAGAATCTTCTTTGTGTTAAACTTCTACGTCATGATAAACTCGTGGAGAGCAGAAGACGCGTTTCTCTTTGTGTGTATATATACTGTGTGTTTACTACACACGAGTGACGAATAGATTATTTATAATATAAATTTTGGATATTTCTGTTGATGTTATTGTCGCGCGAGTGCTTGTTTGCGTTTTCCTGTAGCAATAACATGCGTTTCATTTTGTCATCTTTCATTAGAGATTTAGCGGGAAATAATTACGTTTTTATTCATATGTCTGTGTATGCACGTTTGCGTGTATGGGAGGGGATCTAAATAAAGATTGTTTCTGTCGCGTCAACTTCTTCCTTTTCAAAATAAAAAAGTTTAACGCTATTTTTTAAATGTTGACTTTATTTATCAAGGATAAATATCGGATGTATATGCGCACGTGAGAGTGCGTTTTTGAATAATATGGGCTAAAATTCGATGACGCACTTGACGATCTTAAAATGGGTGTTATATCAATGCCCTTTAGTATATATGTATATGTATACAAATGGATATAGATACGTAGGCATCAAAAGTCTGATCCTTGGGGATGTCGGATACCGATAAAGGTTTCTGTTTTATCTATGTCCAGGTTTTCCAACTTTCCTCCAAAGCAAATCTATTTTCCGAAACTGATTGCTCTTTATTTTATTGATTAAGAGTATGCACCAACATTTGTTGACTATCATATTAATTACTTTTGAGAAAAATTGACAAACTTACGTTGTGTATTCTTCTATTATTTTTGTTATCTTCCGTCACTAAAACGAGACTCGGTCGGTAATTCCTGCGTCCTCGACTTGCTCAATAGTTTTACGACAAACGAAATAGTGCGTAAAAATAACAAGTCATCAATCTCCCTTTTGTATCTCTAATATTACACTCTTTCAAAATAATAATTTACATAACTCTTGTTTTTCAGAACGTTAAAGTGTCACAATTCATGTCAGGCAAATCCTTTTCGCCTAAACAGTAAAGCGCTGGTCAAAACGAAACCACGTCGTGAAGATTCAAAATACTGTAAACGAAAAAACGCCTTAGCAAGCTACCACCGTTTGTTGATGCATGATGTGTTCTACAAAACATACAGAAAGAAGGAATCCATCATCCGCGAGGCGGTGCTCAAACTGCGCAGTGATGAACCAACTCATCTTAGCGATAACTTAGCCAGTGCATTGCTGGAGAAAGCTTGCAAGCTCAGTATTTCTGAGTGAGTATCACTTACTGTGTGTACCCTTCTAGCAAACGTCTAATCTAAGGTACTTCTACCATTTCTACAAATAAATTTAAAATTTCTTGACACAAAGATTTTTGCGTCAACTGTTTGTAAGATTATAATGTACAATTTTCTAAGCAGAAGTGGCATACATTGCACTGAATATTGTTTAACTTTATAATAAACAAAGAACTTTTGAAAATTGCTTTAATAACGATATTGTCTACAAAATATTCACTGTTCAGCAATTTTTTGTTTCTTTATCGATCAAACGTATTGTTTTTATTAATCGATCTTGTCGATCTATTCTGAATCAAATTCACTTTGAAACATTTTTCTCCTCAGTAAAACCACGACCTTTGGCCATGGTTCGGTAACAAAAGACTTCAAATCCCTCAACGTAAGCTCAACTGCCAGTGTAGCAAAAGATGATGCAAATTTGCCGGAGAACTACACGTCCAATAGTTTTCAACGTGCCCGAAGTAATACAATGCCCAACAACTTCAAACGACCCACAACGGCTGACGGTAGTAGTTCAAATAATGGACACACTTGTTCGGTACAAGCTAGGCTCTCGCCACCTCCATGCGACGTGACAATCGACGAGTTGGCCAGCTACTTCGAAGAATTTGTGCACATACCGAAGAAAATGTCTCACATGGCCGAAATGATGTACATTTGAAGTTCGATCAAAACAAAATCTCATTAATATTCTTATTGATTATTAAGCTTTCAACTATCCCTACCGCGAGGACTAGTTTTTTACGATATTATTTTATGTTTTTTTCCTATTTTTTTAAATTTATTCTAAATTACATAGTTCGCACATGTAGAGTTGAATAAATCGTTTGGTGAGCAGGTTTTGGTTTAATTAGTGTCTGATTTATAATTTTTATGAAGACTGTATCCATATTACATTGCATCATTGTTGTATCTCCTTTTTTCAACGAGCTTTTTTTGTCTTTAGCAGACTCGTGTTCATTAGCTGGACTAAAAAGATACAAAAAAATTATGTCCAATGTATATATGTGCGCTGAATCGACAAAAGATAAAAAAAAATAAATAAAATAAGTATATAGTTGAAAAAATAAAAATCATTTTGACATTTTACGTACTCAAGGTTCTATGTATGGATTCCTAGAGTTAGTGTTTGGTTCTTAATAGAATTTTTATTTCAATAAATCTATATTATTATATTATGAAGAACGTTTTTTCTTAGTCACATGTGTATATATATATATATATATATATATATATATATATATATATATATATATATATATATATATATATATATATATATAAAATAAAACAGTGAAGAATAAACTTTATAAATTCAAACATTTCTTGGTTCTTTTTTCACTAGTGTCACAACTTATCTCCCAATATTTTAAGAAATGTATTTCAAGGCTTATCGGTCTAGCTAAATCAATAATTCTTTAGAGTTGAATGTTTTCAAATACACTGGTAATATCCAATCAAATAATAAACAACAAAATAACGTTTTAAAATGATGTAAATTAATAAACAAAACTTTTTTAATATTGCACCTAAAGAATAGTATAGGTAATTTTGTACAGGTATATGATAGGTATATAAAATAAATCGTACACAAATAGTTTTTTATCGTACTTATACATAATATATTTATCTCCATATGCGTTATAATAATTATATTAATATTACAAAATAATAATTAAATTACTTAGCACGTAAAAAAAGAAGAGCTTTGGTACAATAAACAATGACGATAGCATTTTTATATAAATTCTTAGTTAAATCAAGAGTCCCGTAACCGACACGTCGAGAAGAAAAAGTCATGCACACATATACTCGCTCGCAGGAAAAGAAGCGGAACGGAAAGTGTCTCCTCTCTCTCTCGCTCTCTCTCTCTCATTCTATGCTGGACGAAATCTGCGCTCGCGACATGACTCATCGTACGTTCACCTCTCGATCTTTCACCGCTCGCTCGCTTATACTTCAGCTTGCTATATAGCGTCTCTCTCGTATAGTAACTCTTTGTTTTTTAAGTACAGCGCGTCGACGATGGTTTCTTTTCTTTACAATTACACTTTATGCGAGAGTGTATATATATATATGACGCGCCGTGTCGAGACAAAAATAGATATACGGGATGGATTCGCGTTCGTTTTAGCACCCGAGGAGGGAATCCGTCGACGAAAAAGTAGGAAAACGAAAACGCGGCGTACACACCCAGGCACACTCTGCACAATATAATAATTTTCTCTCAACGATTCATTACAAAATATTCACCTACTAGGTTTGTCGAGCAAAAATAGACTCGTTTATTTTACGTTCTCGATAAAAATTTCTTTTTTCTTCGCCAGGAAACAAGCAGGACTCAATCTAAACGTATCATTTTTTTATCTTTGCGAGAAGCACAGTCGATTCTCACGACTGGCCGTTTTATTTTTCCTTTTTGCATCTATAAGTCACTGAGAGAGCGAACGTATGTACTTCGATATGGCTCTGGGACAGAATATGTAACGACGACTATGTTAAATCAGGCATACTCAAGAAAAGCGTTTTAAATTGCAAAAATGAAAATGTTATGTTGCTAGGCCATTCCTCTATTTTTCTGCGAATCTTCCCAACGTTAATTTTCTTGTAATTCACAGGAGAAAACAAAATGTCGCAATTGAGTATGCTCATTTAACGCATCAAAGAATGCTCTCGTTAGCCTATTTTTCTTTCATCTAACAAGCACGCTAATTACAATAATCATATACGCTGATACTTTACTCATCACACGTTATAGATATATGAAAAAAATACAGGTGTGTTTCATATACGTGAACACAGGATACAGCACATAGGTGAGATTCATTTTTGTGTGTGTGACAAATGCTGGACATTTGTGGAATAGAATACTTAAATAGAAAAAAAGTTTTTTCTTTTCTAATGACTTACATCGCAGGTAAAAATGTACAAAATGCGCTGATGAACCAGACAAACGCTGGATCAATCGCTCGACTACCTTGATTTCTTGATGAATACGAATTTCCATGCATAACAGGAGTCCTATGAAACAGCACTGAGATTCGACTAAAAATATTTATAGAAAAAATCTTAAAGGCTATGATAGTATACAAAATGTATGAGTGATCGTGAGTCGTAGAGAAAAGCACCGTGGGAGAAAATTCATATTCATCTTTTTTGTCGAAGTTTACATATAAAATTCTAACGTCTCTAGGGCTTTTTTCAAATATGCTTTGTATTTTCTTGATGCGGCAGCTCGTTTTCAGGGAATACAATGTTGGCAATAAACAAATAAAGTAAATGCACGTTGTTTGTCACTGTGATTAGAAGAGAAATACTGAAATTACAAGTCATAACAGTACATAAGAATGTTTACTGGAACAATGCAAAACCTTATTTGGTCCCACATTTAACAAAATTAATGAGTGACAAATGATGATAAATCTTTCGTGCAATGGTCTAATAGTCATCAAATGTTTCAATTTCATATCAGTCAGATTTTTTTTTTCTCTCTCAATCTAATGTCCGCTAGTTACGATAGATTTCATTGGTATTTAAATAAGCTAATACTAATTGAAAATTGGTATACGATAAATAGTATTGGTATTCGAATTCATCCATCTCGCATGAAGGAGTCAAATCAAACGATAAAACGTCGTTTTATCAAAAATTTGGCATACACTTTTATTAAATTTTTTTTTTTCGATGGAGAATCTAATCGCTCTTTTTCGAAAATTTTGAAAAGTTATGCAGAAGTACACTTCATGGAAAAACCTGTAATCTCAAATGCGATTTTGTCATTGAAAACTTTCAACTTGAAAAGCGACTGATTCTCGTTTCTCTTTTGTGTTTTTATTAATTCGGTGCATTAGCATCCGTAAAAATGCTTTTCATATTATCCTCATTAGCTTATAAAATAAGATATTACCACATTATTTTGATGTGTCATTGAATTATTCATTTTGTTTACATGGGCCGTACAACTTTGACCCGTAATTTGAGAGTATCTACATTTTATAATGATTGCTCGGCAAAAATCTAAAGAACTAAATAAAAAATTTATATTTTTAAATACTATATTGAATACTTTAAAATTTTAAAGTAAAAATAGTATCGTCAAATTGCAATGCCTGTATTTGCATTCTTTATATATCTTTTGCAACTAACATAAAATATCTATGTTAAAAATATTTTCCCTTTGCGATAAAGATTTTTTGCCTAGCAATGTAGTATCTAGTATCGTGTATACAAAATCGAGTATTTACAAAAATTGAATTTTTTGAGTTTATCAAGTAACACGACGAACGGCATACTTTTTAATTTTTGTTATCGGAAAGGTAACAGTTTTATTGTGCCGGTGGTGGGATCCATACTGGTGTCAAAAAGATAATCTTTACATTTTTTCGTGATTACTTTGCACGAGTAACATCCATTGCTTTAAGTTTAGCTTCAGTTAGTAACGAACTTTGTATATCATGAGTTTTTATCATATTTGTTTTTTAGTGACTTGTTTACGCTACCAATCGTGAAAACTCCGTTACAGTATATATCCTTTAGTGTAAGAGACATATCCGGTAACCTATCCTCATTAGAACCCACAAAGAAAAATAGAATTTCTTCAAAATATTCCATGTATACTATCTACTATCTGACGTCTTGACGACTTAATTTTATTTCTCATTAGTTATAGATGAATTAATTGTAGATATAACGGTGCGATAAAACCCTTTTCATGCTATTTATTTTCATCATTTATACGTCATTTTAGAGTCATGGATCGTTAGTAGGCAGCTCAAATCACAGCAAAATAAAAGAATTTATTTGTTTTTCTGCTTATTTCTTGGTTTTTGCACGAATACTGAGTCCATCAATTACGTATGTATATTAAATGCATTTGTCAATTTGCCGCGACTTATTAACTATTCAAACTCGTTTTAACAAAATTCTACGGTGATTTATGTATTTATTTATCTAATATTAGAATGAATCTATGCGTCTTCGTATTTTATTGGTTTCTATCGAATTTGTCAATGTATTATTTTTTATAAATTTAACTCACCATTCAGACCCACCATTCAGACACCTCTATGTCGCAGGATTGAAATATTTAGAAAAAAAACTCCATTAGCCTAACTCTTATATTTCGCGAAACATTTTTATATCGATATTCTTTAATTTGTTTCTTTTTTACTTCATTCATATAAATAGTAACTGCTTCTAACAGACTAATTTGCAGTTACGCGGTAACTAGTTTTACCCTAACAGTTTTACGTTTAATTGTCAATTCGAAACAGATCTACTTTTTGTTGCATTCATAAATACTTTGTTTAAAATGATTCTTAAAACTCCTTTGCGTTCATGTCATCGAATTCGTTTTCGTGTAAAAATGACTTATTTTTTCAAAGACTCTATACATGGCAATCCACGCTCATATTTTCCTTTTTTGTTCCGTTTCAAACACAACGAATAACGATAATAGTGCGCACGTATACAAATTATGCGTGCGCGTTTTTATTTTTATGGCACATGGAGTCTTTTATCGTTGATCATTTGCACTGTCATTTTTTTCCTGCTGCTTGGAGGTATTAATTGTTACATGGAAGACGCATCTATTTTTATAAGTATTTTACAAAATTGTATAGTGCTTGCTTCAATTGTAAATGTCAAGCATTTGATCCAGAAAATACGTCAAAGTATAATTGGTTTTTGAAAATTTGAATGGTCGTATCGAAATCATTATTATATTTGCAATAAAAATCACCTTTGAAAATTTAATAATGATTCGATCGCTATTTCCGTTCTCTTGACAATTTACATTTGAACATTTTCCAAACAATATATTTTGTCGTATTGTAAAATATTCTTGTCTCTTCCACGTAACAAGGTGCAAAACAGGAAAAACAATCATTCGTGACAGTATTTTGTAAGTTAATTTGGATTGGAAAAAAAGGAAAGAATCCATGTGAGTAAATCCGAAGAATGTGCAGCAGTACATTTTTTGCTTTCTTATCACGTTCAGCAGTAAATACCATAAAATTCCATGGCACAGTTGACGTTATGTGGATGGTAATGGGCGTGGTGTGGCACCATGTGACCAGTTACATGATGGGCCATGTATCAGTCTGTTGGTGGTTCCAAGTATGGTATTTCGCTTGTTACATTAAACGACTCGAAGTAGTGATTGAGAAATTCGAAAGTTGGCCGTTTTTCCGGTACCGCATCCCAACACTGTAGCATCAATCGATAGATACTGTCGGGTAGTGGATGGTTAACCGGTTTAGGCATTCGATAGCCTTTATTCACCTGCTCTATCACCTCACGTCCATGCATACCTGGGGATAAGTAATAATTATCGACATGTATTCAGATTTTTATAAAACAAAAATTTACTGTCAATCATTATAGAAAGATGACTTTAATGTAACGCTCAACATTCATTTTACAGTAATCCCAAAGTGCCAGCTATTAAAGTTTCTTAAAGTATCAATTGAGCAAGTAACTCTACATTCAATTCATGCATACAAAGTCTACACCACGTTGAAAAAAAATCAATAAACGACCACAAAAGTGACTCACCAGGATAAGGAACCTGTCCGTAAGTGAATAGCTCCATAAGTAGAATACCATAGGACCAGACGTCACTCTTAATGCTGAACCTGCCGTAAATGCTAGCCTCGGGTGCAGTCCATTTAACAGGGAATCGACTGCCTTGGCGTGGACAATACTCGTCGTCCTCGATAACGCGAGCAAGCCCGAAATCACAGATCTTCGCTTTGTACTTTTCGCCGATGAGTACATTTCTCGCCGCCAAATCCCTGTGTATCAATTGCTTGCTCTCGAGATGTTCCATGCCCGATGCTACCTGCGCTGCTATGTAGATCAAATCTTCGAACTGCATGAATTTACCGTCGCCCGTACGTAAGAAATCTAACAAGCTGCCGTTACACATGAATTCTTGTACAATGTAGATGGGCTCTTCTTTGGAGCAAACCGCATAAAGGGCTACTAGGTGACGATGTCGGAATTGCTTCATTATTGCAGCTTCCTGTACTCAATGAAATAAATAAATAGAAAATAATTTTTTTCTTTGGACAAGATGAAATACCGAAAAAAGCTTACCTGTAGGAACGCTTCTTTCGACATGGTACCGGGCCGAAGTGTCTTCACAGCTACCTCAATTTTGTTACGCCACTTGCCATAGTAAACTTCGCCAAAGTTACCATGTCCAAGTTTACGTATGAGTTGTATCTCGTTACGGTTGATCTCCCATTTGTCGCGTAGTTCCGGACCCAAATCCCACATGTCTGGCTGTGGCTTTGGACATGGCTTCGACAATACGTGGCACAGGCCAAGTGCATTTTCTAAAAAGACCAAATTTATCATTCACTTGGAAAATTAACGGAAATATTTGATTTTACGGAATTCGCATTCGAATTAACTATATTAACTGTGACTTTCCATTATACGAATCCTCAAGTATACTCAGAATTTTGATAATTTTTTTAGCGCTACTGTCGCGAATGACAAACCACGTAAACAATAAATCACGCACTCGAACAAAAGCAAAGGGGTATTATAGTACTCACTGCTATAAGCCAAAACGAGAGCTTGTAAAGTTGGAAAGGTTTGGTTAGTAGCTATGAAGAAGCCACCATTGTCGAGGGGCTTAATTTTGTAATGCTTGACGTGATGCCCGCGTCCTTCCTCCCAATCCTTCACCGACAAACTGTAACCACGTGGGTTGTGCTCGCTCGGCCTTACCAGGAACGTTCCGCGAGGATTCTCGTCTACCAGCAGCAGTTTACCCGCCTCTTTGCGCGAAACGTTCTCAAAGAACCAGCTGAAAATCAAAATTTATTGATACGTTTAGTCAAAGTTACAATCAACTTTTTATGTTTTCACTAAAAATGTTATCATTATTTCATTGTTATTATAATTATATTATTTCATAGTCTCGACTAAAGTTTAAACTTTCAAGTCTTAAACTTTTCAGACATAAGAGACACTTCAAGTTCTCAGCTTTCTCTCTTGAGGATCTTAAACGAATATACTTTGGCAAGCAAATACCTTTTCAAGATTAAACTGTGCGCAAGCGTTAATTCTCCTATTTCAAGCTAGAAAACTTTTTGCACACCACTTGATTTAATCCAGTGGCCATTTGCACTTTAAGATATGAAATACTTTATTCGATTTACAATGACGAATTAACTTTATTCAAATGGCCGAACAAACTTACTCCTCACTCTCGACGGATCTTTCCACAGCGACGAAATTATACGGAATTAATCCTTCCTGCAGTGTAGTGAGATGCAACACCTTCCACCAGTCATGTTCGGAGTCATCGAGTACTTCCATTCGGTCCCCTTTGACGAAACTCACGTCGGTACTTTCGCGCGCCGTATAGTTGTAGAGAGCCACCACGATCTTGTTCGCTCGTTGCGAGTGCGCTGCGTGTGTGAAAAGTGACACCGATTAGTTGGCGTTCCTTGCACAAGTGATTCTAGATTGCACAGCGGTTTCTAACATCGATTATCAATAACAATAATGACGCACAAGCTATGTTTATTTTTGTAGCATACGTAGATTCTATAGATAGTATATATACATATATATATATATATATATATATATATATATATATATATATATATATATATATATATAAAGAGAGAGAGAGAGAGAGATGTTAACTAAATATATTTACAATGTCGATTCCACGTGCTTAAGGATAACATGACAAGGTCACAAACTGACATGTGGTTTTCACCAATGGATATAGCTAATTGATATAGCAGATGCAGCATCACAAGAAGCATACATATTAACTTTTTTCTAACAGGCAGAATATCATTCTCTAATAAAAAAATAATTATTAACTAGTCACATTGTCAATTAAAAAAAAGAACAATAATCATCTTCACTTTATGAACATGTACTATCAAACCTTTTCTTTCTACCTTTTAGATCTCCATTGAATATTTTTCATAAATAAAAGACATAGTCTTTATAAAGTTGTAACTGAAATATGGAGTTCCATCGATTAATCGTATGATCAGAAAGACTTGAATATTACAGAAAATGAATTATGCAACGACTATGTTAATGGCAGTTAATAAAAAGTTTACGTTCTCAATTTAAGAGGCGTCATGTTATTAAAATTCATTAATAATAAAAAATCGTAATGAACGCATTATTTTTTAATTCCTTAAATCAATTTTGAGATTGATTGCTAATAAGAACGTATTTCATTTCACATTAATAATTTAACTGTTCAAACCATAATTTGAATTAAGTAAATAAGTTTTGAGTTCGCGGAATATTCCGAAAAAGGTCCCATTATTTGTCTTAAAAAAAGGTGCAGCATGCTTCAAGTTTGTACGACAGATACACACATGCAGGTGAGGGGCCATTGGCGCATAATTTTCGCGCTTGGGCCTGCTGATGGTTAGCAGTAGCTACGGGTAGCATAAGCGGTGCCAGCGTCGCCGGCGTGGCGACGGCTAACAGCTGCAGTGCCTTACAGGGCGTTGGTCGGGGCCTTATAATGTCGGCTCGCGACTGAGCTCCCCTCTGGTTCGGATCGGCTGTGTAGCGGTCGAGAGAGCCACCGTTGCTGTGCTTCGAATTCAGTCCTACCTCGGCTTTCTTGTAGCCTGTTAAAAAAATAAATCAAAAATTATGTGCGGGGTAGAAGGTGTTTTATTATTTTTTCTCGTTAAAGTTATTGGGCGAGCGACTGAAAAAGAGACTTAAATTTATGGTCCCACGACTCGACATAAAACGAATTGGTTCAGAGAAAACAAAGCCGTGCGAGAGCCAAGATTGAGCGTATGAGAAATGATGGCGGATCCCCTATATGAGCTTCCATCCGTTCGTACGAAGAGCAATCGCTTATTTGTTTAACCTAATTGGCTTTCATTTCGACTTATCAAGCCATTGCTCTCTCGCTCGCTCCGTGCACTTTGATCGCCGAATAAGTCAACGCAGTTTTACATCCGATTCAATTCATAACGTTTCCCTTACCGATCGGCTGCGGCTCAGGCCGCTTGCTGCAACATGTACCCATTTTGACTATCCGAGCTGAGTATGTAGCCGACCGTCACTCAAATCTCCTATCTTCTCTAACGCGGAGTCGGAAGTTCGTCCCTGAGGATTGCCGAGCCACCAACTAAGCCGAGCGATTCGACGCCATCCTCGACGGCATCTGAAAAAAAAAAATCACGAAAATTCGCTTTACATATTTCAACCGACAATGGGGTTGTTTCGATGCCTTCTTAGCGGAGAATTTCGCTTAGCTGTTGATCACGTGACAGCTGCCGGTCCGTCGCACGACGACGTCGAATTCTAAAATCGAACGGTCGTTCGCCAAAACATTGACAATTTATGCTCGCATGGTTCGATTAGCAAACGGACTCGCGGCAAGACATAAAGATACACTGAAAAGTCAATCGATCGGAACACACGAACTTAGCATATACAGAGCGTAACGCGATAAAATCTCGCGCGTTCATAATTGCCTCTGAATTATCCAGTGCATAAAAATTGGAAAGGCAAAAAAAGTGGAGGATCGTCGAAGCCTCGGACGACCGACGCTTCGACGACGCACGGTCCGAGCGTCTTAAAAATGAGCTCGCCACGTTCCCTCGTGGCTTGC